TTTCTGTGTCTAGCTTGTACCTCGCCTGCCGGCTTGGCGAGCACGCGCCGCTGGATTGTTTTTTGTCTTATATCGGACAGTTACACTTCGCATACAATTTTGGGAACCAGTTGGCGACAGAGTGCATTGTTTCGGTCTCGATCGAACAGTTGTCTCTGCTCGCGCGACGAAGCACGCGCAACTGCAAGCCTACTGAAGTTGCCCTCACGTGTTTGCGAACTTGATTGTGGAGGCATTGAAAGCGGACATTCATTACTAGCCGAAGGCAAAGCGAGGCTTGCAGCAGCCTCGCAGAAAGTTTCAACGAGCAAAAAGAAAGACACCCGCTATTCGTAATGCACTTTTGTCTTTTGTACAATTTCGCATGCGCTGCAGCAGTTGAAGTGTTTCATTAATCGGAGGCTGCTTCCATTTATTATATTATGTAACTAGTCAACCTAATGCTGTGATATTTACTACTAAGCTGGTCATTTTCAAATAAATGTTTATATGTGTAGCTTGGTTTTATTGATCTGTAGCGGGTACTATACTTTATATGTATAATTTAACGGAAGCATTGCAAAATATGTCATGTCATTGGCTTTTCAGTGACATGTTTAAGGACTCCCAGGTGGTCTAACTTGACCATAATTTGTTTAATGCTGCAAACAAAGTGCAATTTGTTTGTGCTGCACTTTATTGAAAATTTTTATTTTTTTAAGAATATCTGCTCTAAAAGTCACCTTTTTTTTGTTGCTCCAAGCCACTGTTTTGGCTGCTCCAAAAACCACTTTTGCTGCTCCAGAACGCTGTCTTGGCTGTTCTGGAGGCCACTTTTGCTGCTCCAAAACACTGTTTTGGCTGCTCCGAAAGGTGCTCCAAAACGGCTTAGGTCAATCATATCACTTCAATTGCAAACCTCCAATTGTACAAATAGGTCTAAAAATATTTTTGTTTATTTATTTTAATGATACTGGGGCTTTCGATGAAGAGGCTTACAAGAGTAGAAAATTTTTTGAACACGCATAGAAAGGACAAACGCTCGGAAATTGGTCAAAGAAAAGATATCATGTGCATGGGTGAAACTATCAAGTGAAGAAAATGTGACCGTGTCATTTTCAAGTAAATTTTCAACCTTGAACTGCCTGAGGAAAGAATGAATATGTGAAAATATTGTTCCTAAATCTGTATTGTTTAATCAATCTTGTGTGATTGAGCCTTGACGATCCAATGGATGAGAATATGATATATTTGTGCTAATATTGGTTGCTCACTGGTAATATTGGGTTTGCCATGGAGAAAATAATAGCAAGATTTTTTAGTCTATTATTCGTTGCTTTAGTTTCTGACATCTTTACATTGGCTTGTATAAGCACTTGTGATGGAGAAGCAGGAATCCCGAATGCATTACGTGTAAACCTAACAGACCCTTTTGAATGCTTTCCACTTTGCTCACCCGTCTGCCGTTTGGGGAAACCAAACGGTGTTAGCCTACACCAGCGTCGATATAAACACCTCACGTTTTGTATGCCTACTTTTTGTTTCGGTATGTAAAAATTCTACAGTTTGCACCTCAGTAAAATGCCTACTTCCAATTTTGTTCACTATGTTATCAACATGTTGATTCCAAGTAAAGTTTTCATTAAGGAATGGATGGTTGGGCGAGTTGGTGAGAATTCATTGTGGAAACAGCATGAAAAGGCGAGGGTATAGAAGAAACACACGGGATAAGCGCCTAAATAGTGAGGCTCCGAGAAACAGGATCTCCAGACCCAGTGATTACCTTGGACTGTGAAAAAGTAAAAAACAAAGTATTGAAGGTAGATGCCGGGAGAGACTGCAGGGAGAGGGACGTGGAAAACAGAAAGAAGGTGGTCACCATCCCTTATTTTTACTGCATATCACACATAGGTGAAGGAGGTCGCTTCAAGATATGAAGTGAGTGTCTGTTTTTCGGCCAGAAACAAGTTGAGCTGGATTTGCCCTGCTGTAGAAAAGCGCGCAAGAAAAAAGAAAAAACTTATAGTCACGGTTGGACCATGAAACATAGTACAAAGTTTGTATTGTGTATCATTTCCGTAGTGTATAAGATACCTTTCACATGCGGGCAGGTATATATCGGTCAAACAGGGCGGTGTTTCAACGTCCATTTAAGAAAGCACCAAAATTCATTGAAAGGATTTGCTTACTGTCATCTTGCGATGTATTGTTGGGATTGTAGGTGGGAATCAAAATTAAGTGACACAGAAGTAATTTTTAAGCACAAAGACAAGCTTAGAGACTTAGTGAAGGCGTACCAAATCAAAAAGATGGGAGCTTCTTGCGTCAGCCAACCATCATTGGCACAGCTAGACAGTGAATGACAAAGTTGGATTTAAGCTAGCCTTTGTAACTCCTTGTCATTATGCTTTTATTAATAGTCATGGGGTGCACTTGCGTGGGATTGCATTGGTATAGAAGGAAGGGTTGTTTTCATGTATGTTCCTAATAAAATTCGTCAGTTGATAGTCAGCACTTGTCCCGCGTGTTTCTTCTACATCCTCGTCTTTTCAAGCTGTTTCCATGATGAATTTTCATTAAAGGTAATTTATAGTGGTCTACAGATTTGGTATCTTTTTTATCTACAAAGTAAACTTCAGAAAATAAATATTTTAAGCATTGCCAATGTGTCACTCCTTTGGCAAACATGGGGCCCACATAGCTTGCTGTGAAATAGGACTTTGTACAGTTACTACTAAGGTGGTACTTCATGTTAGTACCTTGCTCTCCCCCCCCCCCCCCCCTCCCCCCCACACTTTTCCTCACTGTGACTCATTCTTACTCCTTTCTGTCCTTGGCTGCAGCATTTTTTGTTTGAGTGATTTTGCTACCCACTCCCCTAGGCCCGTAACATGCACTCATAACCTCCTCTATGACTGGGGAGAGGATGCAGACCCACTTGAGTGTTTCAGGCAAGCTGAGGTAGCTATCAGAAAGCACACAGAAGACCCTGCTTGTATGTCTTTCTGTGTTGCATATCCTTCCATGTTGTGTGGGAGGTGACTCTTATCTAGTCTGTATTTCTGGACCTACCGTTATGGATGTTTCCACGAAGACAAGTAACAAGGAACTGAGTGAAACCTATCTAAAAAGCATTTGCAATAACTTTTTAGATTTGAGAGATGGGGTAAAGGGGGGGGGGGGGGGGGGGGGGTTGGGTTGGTCGATCGGGTCAGGTCGGGTCGGTACTCTCCAGTCCCAGTGTTGGTCATCCTTTGAGATGAAGTATTTTGCTCACATAACATAACATCTTGTCTGTTAGCAACAGAATGCCTGCTAGGATGATAATAATGACACTTTTTTTTTACATTAGTGAAGCAAACAATGGCTTGCTGGCAGTGCGTATTGCTTTATTTGAAGATGGTATAGTATAAAAGACTATTTTTGCGGGCTCAATATTTTGCGAATTTGGCAAGGGTAGTTCCTGCAAATATTTCGCAGGCACGAAATTTCATGATTCTGGGTGGTGTGTTATATATTTATTACCATAAGAAAATATATTTGCGGTATCTATTTTTCGCAAAGTTAGGTCCTCACGAAAATTAGGTCGTTTAGAGTATATAGTTTCTCTAATCTGAATAAGAGTTGCTATGGTGCTTGCCTTGAACTATCGTAAATAGCCTTGTGTCTTCTTGATATGTACACTGGAAATATGGGTCACTTTCATGACAAACTTTATCTTCGTCCAGAGCAGGTGAAATTTTATAAAATTGATTGCAAATTTTGGACAATTACCCTTAGTCAGAAAAAACTAAGAACAGTTTATAAACATTAAGTTATATGCTAGTTGTTTGCAGCATTTGTGAGCCAGTCCAGTTGAAATGAACAGTTATTCCTCTTTCATTTTGCTTTGCAATAGGCAGTTAAGTTTTTGGGTAAATCTCTACACCAACTTTTTGGGGGGTTTGATATATCAGCACCTGGTTTTCCAGTGTACATGGTATGCACTTCTTGGCTGTTATGACAGATGACGAGTTTTAAGTGGTCCACTTTTGCATGTAAAGTCAAATTAGACATGTACACGCATAATATGGTAGTCTATATGAAGTGAAGTACAACTTTTCCTTACAATGCACTATGATTCCTTTAGGAAAGGTAACAGTCCAACTTTTTAGACTGACTATAATCAGCTTAGTGACCATACTGGGGTGCTGTCGAAAGGCTGTGAAAGCTCTGGGTGTTGTTCATCCATGTAAAAATCAAGAGTTCAGGGCAAGGTCTACTTGTAGATAGAGAGTGATGCAAAATTCCTCTGCTCTCCCACAAGCACACAGGTGGAGCATGTTCACATATACAGTCAAATCACAGGTGATTTCAAAATCACTTTATATCAGCAGTTAAAATTTCCTAGTAGGTATCCATCCCATGGTTTGTGTCAGATGACACTAAGTTCCGAACAAAACAATAAAAAAATGGACAGGATGTTTTCTTTTTCTTTTTTTTTTCTTTTTTTTTTCTCTTTTTTTTTTTCACAAAAACAAATATTTAAGAAAAATGGTGCCAAAAAAAAAGGAGAGGTAAGACAAGGTCGTTGCCTTGGACCTTGCCTTGGTCCTTGCATTTTCTTTTTTGTCACTGTATTCCTTAGCTATGAACCAACTGATCTAAATTACCACCTTATTGACAAATATTGCTCCACTCACACATGATTGGTTTGTTTAAACGGGGCTTATCTCGTCTTGATACTTACCTATTTCATGATTTCTAACTTCATCTATTAATATGAATGACTGACGGGCGGTTTGTTCTAAGTGTTTATCCACAATGGGGTGGCATTGTCTGAGTTCTTCCACTTGGGTGTGCGGCACTTTGTGTGCGGCACTTTGTGTGCGGCACTTGGGTGTGCGGCACTTTGTGGGTGCACAGGATTCAGCTCCTGGTCTCAGTGCAAGTCTCAGTCTGCTCATGCTGCTCAGCAGCAAGTCTCAGTCTGCTCAGTGCTGGTCTCAGTGCGCTCATGGCACGTCTTGTCTCGATTGCAGGCTTGGGAGCTTCAGCAAGGGCGACCTATTTCCTAAGAGAGAAGAGCCCCTTCCGTTCCACTCTGCTGATGGCTACGACAGCCAGGGTGAGTGAATGCCAACCATTACGTCTTGGGAAAGTCCTACATGGCTACACAAGGCTCACCGGTGATGTGTGCCCTGGACATACTATTGTGGACAGAGCTAACTATAATGCTCAAGCAGAAGCTGTTCTGTACTCCCAGCACCACATAGCAGACGCGCCTGGAAACACCCCACATACGCAGGGCAGCAGTCTTGCTCCTCCAGTTTGCGATCACACCCTCACTTGGTCGCCTGCTGGGTGCGAAGCAGACAATGCCACAACACTTGTCAATGTTTGTTTCACAGGTTATTGTGTGCACCCCTCACACTACGATTCCCTGACTCAAAGAAACGAGTTAGCAAAACAAGCAACAAAGTTGATATTCCAGACTAAGTATTGTCGTCACCGATGATTGTGTATATATAAAAATTAATGTTTTTAATTTTTTTTTTTTTTTTTTAAATTAGGGCTATTTTTTTTTACGAGTTAATTTCTTTCTACAGATTCGGTGTTTTTTGCGCAAATTGGTTACGACTTATACCAATTTACACAAAAACACCGAATCTGTGGGAAAAATAAACACTGAAAAAAAAAAAAAATACCCCCCAATTCGAGAAAATAAAACGAAACACCGAAAACACAAAACCCTGTGTATAAATCACACTAGGTTACCTTTCTTTGTGAGACAGATGGTAGTGTCTAGTATTTCCTTGTTATAATGTAGCGCAATATGTATACAATTGTCGGTGACTATAATAATACTTAGCTTGGATTATTAATTTCGTTGCTTGTTTTTTTTACTTGTTCCTTGCAGAGAATTGTTGCATAAAGGCACTCACAAAAGCCTCTAAAACAAACATTAGTGACCCTTTGGCGTCACCTGCTTTGCATCTAGCCAAGGGGGGGGGGGGGGGGGTGATGATGATGATGATGATGATGATGATGATGATGATGATGATGATAGCCATGATAGTCAGTTAGGGGTGTGATCACAAACTGAAAGAGCAAGACAGCTGTTCGCACATTATAGACAGCTGCGTCCTTGACAGTATGTCCCTCTTTTAATTGCAGCTAGGTTTAGTGATGTCCACTTTATACTTATAGCTGGATTGCATGTCCATTGTCAGTTGCATTTGAGTGTTAATTAGGAATGTTGTAAGATTTCGCTGGACGTGGGTGTTTGACCGGTTTTGCAAGGGACGAAGTTCATTCAAGCTCAACTCACTGAGTGGTCAGGGCAGTTCAATCTATTGAGTGGCATCGCAATACTACATGCCACATGTACAAAGTTAAAGAAAAACAAATTTATTAAATTTTAAATTTTCTTATTGAAAATTTATGTTCTGGCTATTAAAATAAGATTACTAAAGTATCTAGTCTTTTGATTATTTTATTTGTACTTTAAAGCAACCTATGAACAAGAAAAAGCAGTGGTGCAAAACTGGCAAACCTGCTGGTCTTGTTGCTTAACTTTCTATTATGCGTGACTTAATTTCATTTATTTCTACACAGTGGGTGTGATTGTTTGAAACATGTTTATTTGTTACTATATTTTCCAACAAAAGCAACCTGGATAGTTTCTAGAAGTAATGAATGCTATAATTGCTTTACATGAAAAAAGTAATATTAAATTTATTAAAATATTTTTTGAAGAGCCATGATTTTTTTTTTTTTTACTGAAATTTAGAGTAATCTTAAAATTCCTCACGGGCACCTGGTTGCTAGTAAACTGATGACTTTTAACACATACCACACTCTTCTAGAACACCTACAAAAGGGCACAGTGTTTGCGGACAATTTTGTAAGAGAGGTACTTGAAAATCTTTCAAATGAGCCAAACCCCCGGCATTGCTTTCTGTCACATTGACGGGTTGGAGTCGAAGAGGACGTTCACTTGGCAGACCCTGCCGCTCTTCGGCAGACAAGCTCAGAAAGCCTTCCAGTGGTCGGCAAACTTGTGCTTTTTATTTTTAATTTTGTGAACCGCTTCGTTTGCAACATATCGCAGCCGTCCTTGTCCTCTCCAGTTGCTATTATCTTGGCTAGATAATACGGAGTTTTGAGGTAGCCACGAGCAAGGTACGACTGAGCAAGCAGGAACACAATTGAGATCTCAAGTGTCGACAATCTATTGGGGTGGCCAGTGTTCTTCATGGTGGGTGTCGCAGTTTATCTATGGTAGATGTACTCGATCTGGGGGGGGGGGGGGGGGAAAGGGGCTTCACTACAATCATTGATTTTGTCATGTGTGGCAATGAACTTTGGCACTGGTCCAGACGATAACTCTCTTTACGCATGGTTGTTCTGGTGATGTTCTCTCCCGCAGTCAGGGTGGCTAAGCACTAAAGTATTCAGAATCTCGTTGCCTCATGGCATTTAGCTGTCGGCAGGCTTGGAGGTTCGCACAACGGTAGACAACTGTAAATTTGTTAGGCTATTCAGAATTAAAAAGCTCTCGAATGATCTATAAAATTAAATTTTAGGATCTTATTTCATTTTCACAGGAACAAGCATAATTAAATTTTAATATAATTTTTTTTGTTGTTCAGCAGTAGGGATGGGCAAATATTCGGTTATTACGAATAGCCCATCAAATTCTGTTTTATATGGCATTTGCTCCGAATCGAATTTAAGTATTTGACAATATTTAATTATTCGACAATACCAAATTATTCTACCTTTCCAAATACTCTGGCTTGGATTTCTGGCCAGGTGGCGCAAGCTTCCGACCATTTCATGCTCCTGAAATCGGGACACTTGAAATTAACAATTACTGTACTTGTAATACCAAATAAGGGCAAATATAAAACTATAGTTGAAACATATCTTGTGGTATTTGTTGCTTGTACTATTCAAACTATTTGATTCAAAATTATTCAACCAAAATCACTATTTGCTTCGAATTCAATTCTTACCCAAAATCCTCTATTCGCCCATGCCTATTCAGCAATTAATGAGTGTTAATAATAAAAAAAAAAAAATTCTAAAGCATTTTTACAGAACTTTACTCTTTTTAGATGCAGAAAGTTGAAATGAACTTGTTTATGTGTCTAGGGACTGAGTGACTTGAAAAAAATTCAACAGAAGGTTAATTGGATGCTGTCAGCAGATTTGCAGTCATAAAACGTTTACTGGGACAGGGTTGATGCTCCAAGTTTTTGTAATGACTATGCCGTTGCTACAGATATCCGTTTCTCTTCTTTAATTAGCTACCGAAGCCGTCTGTTCTTTGCTGTAAACTGGCCAGTGATACAGTTCAGTCTGTCTTCAAAACTTTTAAGGAATGAACTCAAAGCCTTGAGAGTCAGTTGAAACCTTATATTGAAGTTGTTTTAGAACTGCAGAAGCACTACAAGAGCCTTCTGATGACAAATATAAGAACCAGCCAAAATGCGTTCGAAAATGACTGTATGCCTGAAGTTGGTGTAACTATCGGTAGTCTTCAGCAGCTTTCTTGTGTAAGAAAGGCATCATCACTAGTGTTTGTGTAGTTCTCATAGTTTTTTTGAGGATTAGCTGGTCACAATTGCAAACCTTTTTTAGACTTACAGTAGTGAACAAAAAGATATAATATTTCGGTTTTACGTGGGTAACTTTTCTTCGAACTGTGACACAGGTACAAAAATTGTAATGGAACACTACATTAACGTATTTATGGAGTAGAAATTGATGCTTACTTAAATATGAATCAATACACTAGATGCCGAGCAATACTTCTGTAAAAGAAACAAAATATCATATCTTTTTGTTCACTACTGTATATCTGCCATTTTTTATGGCAGGCCCCTTTACATATTTAACGAAAGACGGAATTTATAGCAAAGTGTGAAAGGGAAGGGTGTAAATGTTCCAAGGCTAGGGACATAAGCTACTGCCCGATAGAAGGGGTATAGTCACTACCACCCTTTAATTCATCGTCCTATGATAGAAGACACACTTGCTGGAAGTGCTCTAATCGTCTTTATATTGTCTCACAAAAAAATACAAAAAAACAGCTGAAGAGGACATTGCTGAACAGAAGCGGAAACCGTCTGAGGCTGGGTGTGTTCGTTGTGCTAATCAGCTGCCGGAAAAGGGAGCGTTTAGCCAGGGACAGAGAAACAATGTGGCCTTGTTTGCTACGACCAAGGGCCAAGTGAGGGACCAATGTTTGTCTCAATTTAATCCGCTGAATATGGCCTGCATAGGAAAAAGCCCCGACATGCTGGCGCATTTTGGCGAAGCAGCACAACAACAGCTCCATTTTTTCATTACTTCTGCATGCGTATTTGTGCCCATATCTGCTTCGATAGGGCCTGGTTTCAAGGTTGCTGGATGTGCTGCTCAGCTGGTCTAAGCAGGCTTGCATTTCTTTCAGGTGTGCCACTGGTTCAGAGGTGCCTGATCGTTCGGCGGGACGAGAAGGGCTATGGCCTCACCGTATCTGGGGACAACCCCGTCTTTGTGCAATCAGTCAAGCCAGGTGAGTCACCTTCTTCTACAGCCTTAGGATTAAGCGTCTTGTTTTGTTGCTTTTCTTTCTTTTCTTTCTTTTTTCATTGATTGCAGTTTTAGTTTTGAGATACAGAAAGGCTGGAGAAATTTTCAAACGGGGTTTGGCTCAAAATGTAGTCGGGCTGCAAGGTTTCTCAGCAGGTTGCCTTTCTTTTTAATAGTACTTTATTTGCATCTTTTAATAATCCAGTTATTCGGTTTCCTTATAACATGAATCAGCTCACTGCAGCTGAACTTCAAATTGACAATATTTTTATAACTGATCTTAGATTTTATTTTTGGTGAGAATTACTGGGCCAGGCATTATGCTATCAAAGAGCTTAGCTGAAAATGAATTGTTGAAAGTTCTGCCTCCGTAGAGAGGTTGTTTAGCAACTATAGTTTTTGTTCTTGATGATACTGTTGGCTTGCTTTTAGGGGCTAATGACCCTGCTGTTTTGGTTCAGCATTGCTGGTACTTTATTTTTGTTTCTTGTTCAGCCTCTCTAGTTGTGTTGTGGCCGTTAACTCTGCAAGTATCCTGCAATTCTATGTAACCTCTATTTATAGCAATCAGTGATTTCTATCAAACAGATATATCAAGTCTAGGATCAGCCAAAATTGTTGCGTAAAAACTGAATTGCACATTGAAAAAGGTAATCAAAAATAAAATAGGTATTATATGGTCAGCTGCCAAGAGGCCTGTTTTTAAGGTGCTCACCGTTCGGAATGATTAAGAGGAAGCTGAGAAGGTTCTTGAAAAAACAAGTTAGAGGTAAATTCTCAAGTATTTTCATCCAGCGAATTTGAATATCACACTTTTTTTCCCTGAAGATGTAACTAAATACAAGAAAGCACGAAAAACCTCCGACCAGTCGTTAAGTCACACCATGTATGATCTTTCGGCCGTCAAGCATGTGTCGCTGATGTTGGCAGTGCGTGCAATTGCAAGCTTGCCAGCTATATTCCCCCACACTGACACCAGTTGAAGCTTCTTTTCCTGACCTTTTTGAAAATAGCAATGTGCACGCGCATAGCTTTGATAGGCGCTGAAGATGCACGAGAGCTGAGATTCCAAAAACTCTTTTTATGACGTACCCCTCCGAGACTGAGGGGTTTCAGCGGCACCTTGAAAATTATTCTCTGCAGCCTCCATGCACCAAATTGAAAAATAATCTTGGTATTCGTGATCCTGGAAGCCAAATGAAGACGATTTAACTGCTTTTGTTCAAATGCAGAACCGCTTCAGTTTCTTTTTATGTGGCTATCTAGATTTTAAGAAATTGTTTTTTTAATAAGTGAAAATAGACATTTGTTTAAAGAAACAAGATAGCATTATCGAAAAATAATAAAGCAGTTTTTTTTTTTGTTTTTTTTTTTATATTTGGAGAACATGCTTAGTTCTTTTGGGTCCTGAAAATGTATCTAACTTCAATGCATCCCATACAGCTTTTCTGTTCTGCATTTGAATGTTCGCTTTGCCAATTGCGCACCTGTAGCACAAATGATAATTTTGGCACGTCACCATGCTTCCCCTGTGCTCCAAGTCCATCTAAAATTTGCTGTTTGGGGGGGGGGGTTTTCAATGATTATCAGCATATTTCTAATCTGAGTTGTATGTTTATTTTTAATAATTAAAAAGTAAAATATGCAAACCTATATAGGGCTTAATGGACATGTATTTTGCGAAATTACCCAAACACCAGGGAGAATGCTGGGAACGTAGATATATGCTGCACACTCTTGCCTTTTCTGTATAAAAGATTCAAAGCAAATGACTAAAACAAGGCACTGAGTGATGAATACATGTGCATCTGTTTGTTTTAGATTATTGCTTTATTGTAGATACTGTTGCATATGCCAGCAGAGGAAACAGATGTAACTACACTTGCAGCATGCTCTTTCATGCTTAGCTAACATAACAAAAGGTCTATCATCCCAAATACTATGTGCCTCATTAAATTGGCCCCTTGGCAGCGACTAAATATGGCACCCATTTTCTTATTCTGTGATGTGTAGTTTTGGCCGATATTGAGCGTAATTTGGTGTAATTTTGGATGACATTCTGGGTAACTAGGAAAGAATCACATTCAAGATGTTAGTGAAGTCCATTATTCTCTTTCAACATTCCTTTTCTCCGACTCGCAAAATCGAGTACCCAATAACTATGAGGAACATACTACCGTAAAATCTTGAGAGATGCCCCCACCTCTGAAAGGTAACCCACCCCTATTTTTGGCTTGATTTGCTATTTTCTTTGAAACACCAAAAGATAGCCCACTCCTAGTAATCATAGTGTTCGGATCAGTGATGACCTTGGCGTAAATGCATCTAGTTAGCAATGGTGGGATCTGAGGGAACATTGCTGACTAGGAAGTGCAGACATCTTTGTTCCAATGCCCCTTGCCACGATAACAAGTTTGACAGAGACACATGATATAAGAATAGCATTTTTAAACTTTTCTCAATTGCTCACCAAAAGTTAGCACTCTCCTTATTTTTACCTAATTTTGTCTCGATTTTAGGTGGGCTATCTCTTGGGATTTTATCATATATACCAATTTTATGTACATGTCCACTTATAATTTAATACAAATTCTTGAAAGTGAAAAGTATCCGCTTGCAGCACTAGACTTAGAACCCCTATTGCTTAAAATTTCCTTCTTGTATTGTAATGTCAGTCGCACGACCGCAGCGTGAGGTTAGCGTTCTGCGGTCGACCCCGCGAGCATGCTGTGGTGACCGGTGTCTTTACGGCGTTCATCCAGACGGTGCCGCGGCCAGGGCTGGCGTCCACCAGGGGGACCGTATCATCAAGGTGAACGGCACCCTGGTCACCCAGTCAAATCACCAGGACGTTGTGCAACTTATCAAATGTAAGTACTGGTGCTCCTGTATGCACGCACCATAGTCACTGTTGGGACGAGAACGGCGGGGAGGTCCTCTAGTTGGTCCTGCCTCCTCTGCTCCTTCCTTCGGTGACGCTTGGGCGGCTCTTGAGCCTCGAGCGTGTACGCACAGTCAAAGGGTTGCAGAAGGCAATGGGTTTGTGCTGGAGGCTGGGCATTCAAGAGGGACCGCCCTGTCAGTGACCATAGTGATTGGACAAATATCTCTCAACGCATCATTGTCGCAACATATGCTTCCCATTGCACCTGTCTATGGGACCCCCACACCAATACAAACATGCAAGCTCGAAAGGCTATGGTTCATCGCAGTTAGGTTTATTTGCAAACGGCCATAAAAGAACTGATAGCGTTACTGAGATCAAATTGAATGCATCCGAAAGGATGTCTACGAGTCTACCGTATTCACTCGAGTAATAGCCGCACTATTTATGAACAAGGCCCTTGCTTCTACTTTCCTGCAAAGCACATATACAGCCAATCCAGTCTTGGGCAGTAACTAGTTACGAGTAACGTGTTACCGGTAACTAGTTACTTTTTTCAGTAACATTTACCTGTAACGCATTACTCTTTAATCTTGTAACTGTAACACTGTTACTTTTTCACTGGGTAACTGTAACTGTTTAGGCCCTTACAGTTACTTTTTTTTTTACTAAATAAATTGGACCCCGCTGCCGCGGACATGGTGAAATCGCCATCTTGAAATATTTTTCTCAGAATTTCTCATTAAAAAAGAAAAAAAGCATGGGCACGCATTAAATCAACAAAAAAATTGTCTGGTTTAGCCCACGACCGAGAATGGATGACGAACGAGTCGGCACGAAACGGGGAGATAAAGGAAGCTGGCGCCCGCGATGGTATGGGGGCGGCAAGGAAACTGTCTGTTTCACCGACTTTGGCTCACTCTCCTATTATGGGGACCATCTGCGGGTGTCGGTGGTCATGCGACTTGTCTCCGAGTATTCCGTCTGGGATGTGACAGTACCCCCCCCCCCCCCCCCCCCCCCCTTTTTCCTTCCCCTTTGTCGGACATCATTCCGTGCTGTCGTTTGCACACCCAGCCGCTCGCCGTTTCCTCTTCCCTATTAGTTGTCCAGGAAGCCGTCCTCATAATGTACAGAAAGTCGGCGCTTGTTTAACTTGTTCATTCTCTTCGGAGCCGCTTGAGTAAACACGAAGGCAGGTACAAGTAATATTGCCTCTTTCGTTGATAGCCTCAAGAAACACCCCAATGGAGCCCAGAGGGACACTTTGTTGTGGAACCTATGCTGTGCTCGAGCTGGAGAGATTTCAGGAAAAACATGTCATAAGTGAGAGAAACAGCTCTTTTTGATGCGTCTTCCATAGTTGGCATTTCGGACACACACGCCGTGGTGGTCATCGCACACTCGTGAATCACCAGAAGGCCTCACTTCGTCTCCTTTCCCCCTATATTCTTGCGAAGCTGTTTGACCTGCTATGTTTAGGCCTGCTTCCAAGTATATTTTGCAAGGTAATTATGCGACCATCTGTGTCATCATTCGTTTCGGAGTGAAAAATTGATGAAAACGTTCACTGACGAGGGTTGATGACAATTTTGAAAAGCAGTTGATTATACGTTAGAACAATTATTGCAAATAAATTATGCACATCGAAATGCTGAAACGGCGAGTGATGGAAAAATGAAGCACGCTTTGGGTTAAAATTTTTCTAATTTCTCAGTTTACCTTTCTTTTCACTATAGTGTGACAAATAAAATTAATATTGTTTTGGTTTGTGATTTCTTGTGTCCACATTGTTTTGGTTTGCGATTTCTTGTGTCCATTTTTTGTGCTGTAACGGCAAAGTAACGGCGTTACTGTTTTTGCAGTAACTGTAACTGTAACACGTTACTTCTTGAAGCCGATAACTGTAGCTGTAACAGAGTTACTTTTTCCTCCTAGGTAACTGTAACACTGTTACTTTTTACTGGTAAACGTGCCCATGACTGAGCCAATCATTGCTTTGCGCATAAATAACACGGCGAATAATTAGATCGAGAACATGATTCTTCATACAAATGCAATCTTCACAGATGGTATCTTTGTGCGAAGACGTTATCTCTGTCCTGTAAACCGCTGGAGTCATGCTGTCGATCGCGGTGATTGGCCATTTGCGTGCTCTGCGGAAGAGTGTGCCCTCAGGTTTTCTTCATAAACAGTGTGGCTATTACTCGAGTAAATACGGTATATAAAAGAAATTAAATGAACTTACTACACCTTGAAACGCTTGGAGCTAAGCACTCAGAAGAGAGGTTACAGTTTATGTATGTGATCTATAACAGTTTAACTCAAATGAGTCACTCTCCTCGCATAATTCCAGTGTCGCGAGCAAACACTTGATTTATAGACGAAGAAATGATCAAGGAGTTCTACGCATATCATTTATTTAATTTAATTTATTTTCCCCTTAAGGGCCCGGTTAGGGCATTACATAAGGGGAGGGCAGTAGAACGAAGAATGCAATAGCAGACGCAGTAGTAGAATAATAACAGTAACTATAAACAAGAACAGGAGAAATTATACATAATGGGCTAGTAGATTATCGTAAAACACTGTTCCATCAGAGGTGCTGACGATGGAGGATGGCAACTGGTTCCACTGTGTGATGGCATATGGGAGGAATGATTCGTTGAATGAGTTAGTTTTACAAGAAATACGTTTTATTGTACAAGAGTTGTTTAGGCGGGAGGATATTCTATCGGGGGGTGAGAGCAGGGCGTTCTTTAGTTCTGGGCAATGATAATAAATTTTATGAAGGAGGCATAAACGGGAGAGTTTCCTTCGAATGAGTAAGGGTATAAACCCGAGTTGACGTTTTAGAGAAGAGACACTGGTGAAGTGGTCATACGATGATAAGATAAATCGGGTGGCTCGGTTTTGTACTGACTCCAGGTGATTGATTAGATAGACTTGATGAGGACTCCAGATTGCAGACGCATATTCTAATTTTGGCCTTACATAAGTTTCATATGCCAACTTTCGGACTTGGGAAGGGGCGTCTCGCAGGCTACGTCTGATGAATCCGAGGGTTTGGGAAGCCTCTGCAGAAACGGCTTCGATGTGAGGTTTCCATGAGAGGTCAGGCGTTAGTCTAAGGCCAAGATATTTATACATTGAAACTGATTCAATCATGTCTTTGTCTAGGGTATAATGAAAGGGTAATTGAGTTTTCTTGCGGGTAAAATGGATTAGCTTACACTTCGATTTGTTAAGCGACATGAGCCATTTTCCGCACCAGTCGATAATTTTTATGAGTTCATTTTGAAGCAAAAGATTATCAGTGTCTGTTAAGATGGTGTTATAAATGACGCAATCATCGGCGGAAAGTCGTATTTTGCAGAAGATGTCATGTGGGAGGTCGTTAATAAAAATTAGAAAAAGCAGTGGGCCAAGGACGGCCCTGAAGTACACCTGAAGTGACGTTTGTTAGCTTTGATTCATGCTCGTTAACAACCATGTATTGCATACGAGACGCGAGAAAGCTGCTAATCCATGAATATGCAAGGGGATCTAAGTTTAGGGATGATAGTTTAGAAAGCAGACGTTGATGGGGAACACGGTCAAATGCCTTCGAAAAGTCGAGAAGTATGGCGTCGGTTTGTATATGGCGTTCTAGGTTAGTCTGCAGTTCATGAACAAATTCACATAGTTGGGTCTCGCAGGAGAACCCTCTACGAAAACCGTGCTGGTGCCTGAAGAAAAAATTATTTGACGTTAGGTGAGTCATGATGTTAGAATACAAGATGTGCTCAAAAAGTTTTGATGCAATGCAGGTTAGAGAGATGGGACGATAGTTCGAGGTGGAAGATCGAGTTCCCTGTTTTTGGACTGGGGCGATCCTCCCAATCTTCCAGTCGGAAGGCAGACAACTCTCGGAAAAAGATTGATTAAAGATGAGACTCAGAATTTCACCGGAAACGTTGGCTGTATTTTTTAAGATCTTTGCATTAATATTGTCCGGGCCTGCTGAGGAAGTGAGCGGTAGTTTTTCTATTTGCTTAACAATACCGGATGAGTTAACAGTAATCAACGACATGGGATCATAACACTCTTCAGGGACAGTTGGAACATTTTGTAGGGATTCAGTGGTAAACACAGAAGAAAAGTAATCGTTAAGCACTACAGGGCACTCCCTCTCCGGTACAGGCTCACCAGCAGTATCCTTCAGGTTGATATTTACGTGGCCACTTTTAGGTGACATAAGCTTCCAGAATTGTTTTGGATTATTTTGCAATATTGCGGGCAAGTCCTGGGGAAAAAAATTTAATTTTAGATAGCTTAATGGTTTTGGTATAGTTTTTGAGCGTTGTGTAATAAGCGTCGTAACAATACATTTAAATTTTCGTCCTTCCCCAGAACAATAACTGCATGGAATAAGTTGCCAAGAATTACTGTTGATGGTGTGAAAGTCAATGCATATATTGCAAATTTGAGACTTGTGCCTTTGTAAAAATATTTTGTAGCTATTGAACTTGATCTCTTCTTGGTGATATGTTACTTTTTTTGCTTTGTTGTATTGCTGTCCCTAATGTTTTTCTCTCTTTTTATAATGTCCACTCCTGCTTGGACTCGGATGTGTCTGCAGTGTTAATAAATAGTAAAATAAAAAATAAATACTAAGTAAATATGGGTTTTCTGGCTTACGCTTGTTACTTGGCAAGTTTCTTGAGTTGTCGTTTGTCCTGCTCTACTTCTGCCGTGACCATGTCTCAAGGCGGCCCAACAGCTGTGACGCTTTCAGAGGTGGAACAGCTGCGCCATCCTGCGCCATGTTGCGGAAACTGCGCCACAGTCAATACCTCGCGCCATTATGCACCAAATCGTCAAACGTGCAACAAAAAAATTGTATTTTGTCTTGGTTTCGGTTTCTTTCGACTCGATTGGCAACAATGAGCGCGTTTACTCGGGGGTCGAATTCCAAGCGCTACACCATCTGCGACTGGATTGTTATTCTTCAACCATAAGCGGTTAAGCAAGTCGGCCGAGGTGAGGTCGAGTCGTTAAACGTCGGATTGCCTGATGCTCTGCGGCCCAGGTTCCGGACGTCAGCCAGTTGAAAACAAATGAGCAAAAGATTCCATTTTGTACTTCATCATTACAAGTTGGAACCGCATTCACTCAAGATAAATCGTGATTTGATAGAAATGAAATAGGATAAACTCGAAATTTGTTACTCTGTTCCTCTGCAGAGCTACACGTTCACTGCTTACGCACGTCACATGGTGCGCACATATAATTGCTATGTCGGGCACGTGTGGGTTGTGCGATAAGCAGTGCTGGTTTGCATTATGAGCTGCTAAAATCCACTCAGAAAATATCAAGGACACTATCTCCAGAAACATATGGTACTTGCTTTTTGATTCTCATAAAGTTTCATGTTTTCACATCTGTTACACTGTTATCCCATCTACCGAGGCCCCTAACCACTCATGTTCATCTGTGCTGCGGAGCACAATTGAAATTGCTCCCGTGCTCGTCTAAGACACAAGCTAAAGTGCAATGAAAACAGATCTGGGCTGCTCCTAGCCTGCTCCAGAATGTAGTTTCACCATTTCATAACCTGCTCCAAAACAGCCGTTTCAGCTGCTCCCGTGGCTGCTCCCAAGCACATTTCACGAGTTCCACCCCTGCGCTTTGCATATTTGCAGCTGGCGCACATGTGGCCTTAACCCTCTTGGGACCACCCTTGGTGGATCGAGGTGGCGGGGCCAACCACGCGGCACCTCCGACACCTTCACACACCCCGTCCGGACACCACAATGTGACCCCCAAGGCTCACTCGGAAAGAATCACAGGTCCAAAGCCGGTTGATGTGAGTATTCCTCTGTTCTGTGGTGTTTGTTGGCAGTCCACACTGGGGGCAGTGTAGAACCCCAATCAGTGGAGAATGTGCGTAAATAAGCAATCTTTAAGCCTTGCTGCAGGTTTGATTGTAGTTACCATGTTACGGACTGCATCCTGTTTCAACAAAAACAGCTGTGCCCTACAATAGCCAGAGAATGATAAATAGTTTTGTTCAAAATCCCTTTGATACCCACTAAACAAAAAAATGTGTATGAAGAATTAAGGCAACACCCAATTACTTTTTTGCTGCAGAGTTGTGCCTTTGCAGGTAAAAACCAACAAAGTCAAACTAAAATCGGGAGGCCAGCACATTGTTTCAAAACATGACATCGGGGACTCTGGAAGACCCTGGGTTGTTCCAGTCCCGGCAAATAGACTTAATTCCTTTTTTTATTAAGATATTTTTGGCATTTTACTGGTTACAAAAATTATATTTCACGAGTTCAGAGTTATTTTAATGATGAAAATGTGCTTCAAAGGGCTTATTGCTTTTAAAATGTTGAGTTCTGTCTTGTCATTGCATGTAAGCGAGGAAAAGAGAGCTGGGGCAGCTCTAAGCAATTAATTGTTGACAGGCATCATTTTAAGCCACAGATATTTTTTCTCGATTACTGGACCTTACTAGGTCATGCTTCTGCAACTATCTAGGCTTGCATAAAAGAGCACATCAGATGCCCTTCAGTCAGGTCTGATCAAAAGAGTGTCGAACACAATTCTTTGAGATAAAAGCTGCTAATATAATGGAGATTCTGTCTTCCTAATGACGGATAAGCGGGATGTCGTCATAGTATTCCTATTGTTATGATATCTACGCTCTAGCGAGTGACCCCGATTAGTTGCGATTTGATGAGTTCATTTCGTTTGTTTAGCAACTTTTTACTGAGTGCTGCTCCACATTGCTTGGTCTTCAATAGCAGCTGTTGTACCATCTCCTTCTGTTCCAACCCCCTAGGAAATTAAAAAAAAAAAAAATTAGAATTGTTTTTTTTGCTACAATGTCATGCTTGTTTGCACATGGAGTCTCGCTAATATAAAGGTGCATCTCTCAAGCTAAAATCGCGTTTCTGCTGTCTAAATTCAGACGGTACAAAGAGAAGTTTAATCACTTCATAATCTATTGGTGAAGATGGTAGTATACACTGTATATGGGAGATAATTAAATATAGGTATGCCCAGGTAAATATCAGAAAACCAGCATGAAAGGAATCAGTGTCAGACATAAGATTAAGCCATTGCAACTGGCTCACTCTGAGCACCTGTTGGGGTTTCAGCCTGAGAAGCAGCAGGAGTGTACCAACATCTCATACCTGACCATCAAGAAGATGCTGGAGCAAGAACAGGCCTACCTAGAGGTAGGTCTTGTTCGGCGCCAGATGACATGCATCGTCTATACCAGGGGTTGGCAGCCCGTGGACCGCGTGCGACCCACGAGACAGTTTTATGTAGCACCCAGCGCGACACGAGAAAAGCAGCCGCCCCCCCTCCCCTCTCCTTTGCTGCTTCCTTACACAGACTCGAGGACCACATGGCAGTTTTGACCTCAAATTGGGGTTAAACAGGAACAAGCATCGCTTCCAATTGGCTTTGTTCGTTATCCCCATACTTGGACAGAGCACGTATTCACTTCCTTTTCGCCTTTCCTTTGCCTGCTTCCCCTTTCCCCCTCCCCTCACCACCCCTTTCCCGACTTTCCGTTTAACCCCCTCCGTGACGGCTCCGTAAAGACTCGGCCCACTGCTGCAAAAGGTTGCCCACTCCAGGTCTACACAACACAAAACAGGCTTTACATGCTCACCCCTGAGCATAAGGGTCCTCGGGAGAAGACGCTATGGGACATTACAATGACAGATGCACTCTTGCAAATGTTTTTTTACAGCGATAGCTGCTATGGGCTGTTCGCACCACTGGAAATGACGTCCATTGTCATCGTCATCGTAGTAGGGCGTCCGGCATAAATATCGACAAACGCTTTAAAGAAGGAAAAATAAACGCCGCCACCCTCAGGATTTGATTCTGGGTCCGCTGCTTGTGAAGCGGGTGCATTGCCGCAGAGTTGCGCCACAGCTTTGACAATCCATTTTATACAGAATATTTGAGGAGCATACAGGCGCTTGTGAGTCTCGTGTAGTGCCCGCTAGATGACCACAGTTGCTGCGGTGTCGCAATTAAAAATTCATTGTCATTCCTAATTAATTCCAAATTGAATCGGAGTTACTTGTTGAAATTAATAGCTTCGGCTCTACCCCATGTCACTAATCGTGGGCTCTGCACGCAAAGGCAACGCCAAACGAAGAGAGAAAGGGCGAGCTCTAGGAAGGCTGGACGGGAGAGGAGGGCAACGCAGGGGCAAGGGGAGAAAGGGGAGCTCCAGGAATGTCGGAGAGGAGGTTTCTCTTATCTTCCCCAGTCTTCCTACTGATTACCGTTTCTCCCCTCGCCTGGCGTTGCCTATGCCTGTACCACACGCAACCGGTGACATAGAGTATAGGTGGCGCAAGCTACCGCCCGATCAAAAGGGTTCAGCCATATCTGTCCATCCATATTCATCCATCCAGTAACACCTAGAAGACAAGGCCCGCACACTCTTTCATCGTTAGTGGATCCCCGAGCTGCCTCAAGCGGTAGACGTGCTGCATCTTAACTTTCGCAGCAGGTGCGTGCGTCTTGGCGTCGACGCCAGCATCGCTGCGTGCTAGTGTCAATGCCAAAAGATGCTCTAACAGCAACACCGAAAGCTTGTTGGGAGACGCCGAAAGATGTTCTGGCAGCGACACTGATGCATCTCATCGTTCGTTGCAGGGAGAACAGTGAGGTGCATGCTTGTAAGAACGAAGCCAAAAGGCTCTGCTGTCAAGACGTGAATGCGACACCGATGCCGAGCGACTTCGCATGATGTATCGCTGTGACCATACCGTAAATGAGCGCGAGACCGCTCATATTTTACTTTTACGAAGAAAGTCACCTATGTCAAAACACTTCAGGTGTTGGATATGTGGGACGAAGGCCGTAGAAAAATCTACGTCCGCAAGAATGATTTTGATGGCAGAAAGTTTTTTCGATGCGACTTGATGAGCTATCTTTTCTTTCTGCGACTATGACACGGACGTACATAGGCAGACACGAGTAGGTATGGTCACGTGCCAAGTATTGCAGCTGTTTTAATTTCTCATACTAGCGGCAGTAAAACTACATTGAACAAAAGAAGTCTTTGCCCCTTGCTTTCAGGAAGAGAAAAAACAAAAAAACATTGACTAGCTTTTGGCTACTTTCATTACTTTTGTGCAGACAGTTGACCAGATTTTGTTTTTTCGATTTTAGACCCGAAAATTCTGGCTACTGGCGTAATCGTAAGCGATTTTATTTGGTACAGCAAATGATGATGGACTACAACAAGACATCCTCGGAGAAGAACCAGGCAGAGATGCAGAATGCCAAGAAGCGCATCGCCAGCCTGGAAAAGCAGCTACACAGCCGCAAGGGGTCGCACAATGAGGTATGAAGCTCTGCTCTCGACTCGGACTCGCAATGCGAATTACAACTGTTGCCTCTGGTGAATTGCATTGCTTGCAGTGTGATTTTTGACTCAACAAAAGGAGGGGAAAGCGATGCCACAATTGGTATATATGGGCCGCATTCATCCTAATGCTGGAGCATTAACTTCGTCTTTGTTTCGCAAGCTCCAGAGCAACCTGGTTCATTCGGGATGTTCGAGAGAAGTCTTGCAAGCCCAAGTTTTGTTAGTAGTGGACTCCCATTAAACGAAACTCGCTTAAACGGAAAATTCGGATAAACGGAACTCTAAAGGTTGTTTCGGTTGGTTTCCTATGTATTTAATGATAAATTCTTCGGGTAATCGGAACCCCCCTTTTTGCTTACTTCGGTTAAACGGGACCGAAACCGAAACTACCCATGGCGACCGCGGACATCGGAAATAGCTACAGCAGTCTTACAACCATGGAGTACGCAATAGCCAAGACTGAGGACACTTTAAAGGAAAAGGGGTTGTGTTAGAACAAAATTTATACAAATATTATTATAAAAAAAAAAAAAGTTGTTAGGCTAGGTGACGCGAGGTGCCGCTCGTTACAAAGGGTACGGGGGGTACGGTACAGCCATTCATCCATCCATCCAAGCCATTATACAGTGTAGACCGCATATAACGTATGTCGCGGGAGTCGCGAAAATCCGCACTATAAGCGGTACCGCGTTATAACCAAAACATCAATTTTTCAGGCCAAAATACATGCCATGAGACAACCTACCTTTGTAAAAGAATTTATTTTATGTTAGATGAAAAATAAAGCTTAGTTTGAGGAAAGTCTTTATTACACCAGACTAGTACACATCTCTCTCAAGTGTGTCACACATTTTGAAAGAAATAAGCGGCTTTTGCCTGGCGCAGCCTTTTAACGGCGTCGCGGGTTGCGGACGGACGTTGCGAGCGTTCAGGATTGCTAACCCTAATCACTTTTCTCCGGAGATGAAAACGCGTGAAAATTCGCATCCTTCATACGGTACGCGCCAGTAATACCTTGAACTTGAGCACAGGCATGAAATGCTCCAAATAAAAAATCCGGGCGATGTTCGAAAACACAAATGCTTAGAAAGCACCACTTTAGCCGAAGTAAACAAACACGACGACACGGGCGTTTCTGCCGTCTTGAAAGCGCCACCACATCACCGCACGAGTAGGTGGATCTTCCCTTCAAGTACGTGCTGGGTTATCATAGCGACACACAACGAAAATTCACTGTCAAGGATAGCGTTTTTACGCGGAACGATGAGATGAACGCCACAACCGACGCCATGTTTGCGGACAGAAGCCGCCGGCCCGCGATTGGCATGCAACGCGCGCGAACACTTCTGGACCTGCGATTGGTCTGTCGTTTCGGTTGTTTGTTTCCAACGCAGCGGAGCGACGCACGCACATGAACGACACGTGCGTGCGTCCTTCCGTCGCTATGGCAAATGAAGCCTCTCTCTTCGCTTCTCCGAGCAACCTCCTTGCCCCGCGAGTGCCGTTTGCGGCTCGCGCCGTTATCTAGTGTCGTACAGGGAAGCGTGCTCGCTGCTCCGGTCGTCGGCGCGGTCGGCGGGCTGTGCCAGAAACCGCACTATAACCGGTATTTCCCTTCGCGCGCCTGCATTTTAAGCGGTATGTAATTACATGGAGTTCTATGGGAGGCGAACCGGTGGTTTAAAAAAACCGCGTTATACCCGGTCCTGCACTATAAGCGGTTACGTTGTAAGTGGTCTATACTGTATTAAGGCAATCCAATCCAGTCTTTCTACCGCCATTAGGGTTAGCGCCTCGTCTGTTGCGCGTCACGTTTACCATCGAGTACACAAACCAGCGTCCGCTTGCCGTGTTGTGATGGAAGCGGTAAAAAAGCGGCCGCACCAAGCGATCTCGCTTGCTACGAAAATGAAGATCCTTCAAGAGCTGGATCGTGGTGACCTCTCGAAGACGGAGATCGCAAGGAAGTTCGATATCCCGAAGTCTACACTCTCAAGGATATCAAAGGACAAAGAAAAGATTCAAGACGCTGTAAAGCGCGGAAGCTTTGCCACCGACCGAAGGAGGATGCGAAAGACGCCTTTTGAGGAAATAGAGAACGTCCTTTTTCTCTGGTTTAAGCGCGCGCGAAGTGCTAATTTCCCGATCAGCGGCCCCATCCTCGAAGAAAAGGCTGGAGAGATTGCGTCTCAGTTGGGAATAGATAACTTCAAAATGAGCGACGGTTGGCTCAGCCGTTTTAAAAAGCGCCACGGCCTAGTCTTTAAGACTATTTCTGGGGAAGGTGCAGCAGTCAACAGAAACCTTTGTACCTCCAAGGCATGCACACCTACTTCGTCAAAAAGCGATTACAAAATGCAAAACAAACTACCATTACCTCTTTTTTCTAGTCAGCTACATTAGCTGGACATCATGCTTGTGAAATAAAGTCATATTTCACTCATTTTATGTGCTTTGCTTTAATGAAACTTCTGATAAACGGAACAAATTTTTCTGTCCCTTCGAGTTCCGTTTAAGAGGAGTCCACTGTAATCGTTAGTTGCACCACCTATGCAGGGGTCTGTGTGCCTGTATTTGAGGGCTGACTAATAATGCCATTTGCATATCAAATGACTTTCTTAAATTTTTCCAGAAGTTGCCAGGTATGCTCTCCTGTCTCCCTTTGATTACTAATGTAAGGATTTTGTATCATCTCATTATTGTTGTACTCTAGATTCAGGATGCAGTGGATGTGTTACTGCAAAAACCAACAAAAGGTATCAATTGCTTTTTAACAGATAGATTGTTTCCTGCAAAAATTGGTCAAAGGAATCCTGATAACTTTTTAAGACTCGAGGAGTTCCGCAGAACCAGAGTTTGTCCCATCCGCAATTTTCATTATTGGCTCCTGTGTTGCATGCGTTTGTGGCGGGGGCCTCGATTCGGTCGGTGGTGTTTTCCTTATGATTTTGTGTTGTCACAGCCTGAAAGGTCGCCGACCCCACATTGTTTATTGTTTATCTCTTCACCTCGATGGGGTGGGTGTTCTCTTAGTAATTTTGCTTTCTTCCCGATATATGTTTCTGGGTGATTTTATGATGTAGGTAAGATTTCCTCAACCAGGGGGTCTTACCTATGCTATGCTTAAACAAAAGAATAAAGAAGACATACACGGATGACCACACCCTTTCAGTATTTATTATATCAATGCGCTCAAATGAACTAGTACCTATGCTATGCCCTGTGACATCTCATTTATTTATTTTTTATGTTATGAAGGTGTTGCAGTACTTGATGGCTATACAATGTGAATGAGAAAGGTGATAGTATTAGTTTGTAAAGGGGCACCCGATAGGGCGGTTTCTCCAGACTCCTGTTTCCGTTAACCACCAGTGGGCATGCTGGGGAACCCCTAGTGCCATTTTCCTCTTTGGTTTGCACCTTACCAATGATCAATTAGTGTCCTTTTCAAGTTGGTCCAAAAATAAAAGGCTCGGCACATCATTCCTTCAATGACAACACTTTGGAAGCAAGATTAGGGATCTATGCAAGTCATGCAAGCCATGTTCACTTCACCCTTTAGCCACCAAGGTCATCCCAGTGTGTCTGTTGGAGACTTCCTTGTCGCTGACAGGCTGTTTGGGCAGCTGCTGGCTCGCCTCGACTCATAGCAACTGTCAATGTGTGTTAGAGCAATCAAATAGTCAGCCTTTGCTGCTTTCTGTCGCAAGCCACTCATGGCACAAATGAACTTTGACTGAACTGAAAAGTGCTGTAGCCGTGCAAGAAGACATTGAGCATTGGTTTACCTGCATGGATTGTCATAGGACTTTGCCTAAAAGTAACAGGTCTGCCCGAGAAAACATTGGCAGGTTTTTTGCGGCACATTAATGAACCGTTTATAGCAGAACATCGGTATTTCACCGAAATAATGCTCCTGTGGTAAAGGCAAGATGTGAAAGTTTCAGCTTAATAGATCACCTGAATCAAAAGTTGGGAGCAATTTCTTCAGTGTTTGGATGAAAGGCCACCATGTTTCGTCGGCAACTGGTGGCGCCAGCTGTCGTTTGCTTGCATGACAGCCACCTACTTGACACTGTCACGATTCACAGAGGTGTGCTAGGTGTCTTTCACTTGCACGACGATGTTAGGGTAGTTTCCACACAGACATCACTGCATGGAACTGGTAACTAGTGCCATTTATCACCCATAGCATTTAAATTCAGCTCCTTTCCCATCGCCCCAAAATAAACAAAACGGAACACTTTCAAATGACTCAAGATTTTCAGGAACTCACTTGAAATTTTTGATTCAGGTAGCATATCGGGCTGAAACTTTCTCGTCCTGCCTTCGCTGCTTGGGCTATCTTCCAACCAAAAGTTTTGAGCACTCTGTGACGTGCATTGGTTTGGACGTTGCGAAAAACCACCGAACGTGTTCTCGGGCCTATCATGTTGATGTCTCTGGGAAACCTCCCTATAGGTGCGAGTGTCCAAAGCCCGCTAACCAAACATTCTTGTCTTTCTCTTCTCTTCCTAACAGTATTCACAACACTTTCCTGCTTTAAACCTAGGGGTGAGCCTTCAGAATTTGCAACGTACGATAGAAAGCTGGTTGAACTTGGGAGACTACTCCCAAATAGAAAATGCTATGCTATGCATTTCAGTATTCCTGCATGTTTTAATCTTTTGCATGGTTATTTTCAGTCCACATTCTCCTTCACCAGGTTTGGATCGGTACGAAAGGTACGCCCAGTTAGGACCCTGTCAAAAGATGCTAAACACTTTGCTAAACTAAGAATGTCACTCACTGTGTGTAGAGCAGTTCCGGGGGTATCGTGAGACAAACGGAGATGGATGTCAATATATCAGCTCATGAGTACAGAAACCAATTCAAATTTCGCTCTCGCAAAAGAAAATATATGTAATGTTGGGGTTGATAATTTGTCTGTGTGCATTTAATAAAGGGATGCTGAAACGAAATCTGGCAGCAGGAATCCAGGTGAGGGAAAGTGTCATTGCACATAGGGCCATCCTTAAATCCAATTTTGAGTAAAAGCAATGTCATTTCTCTACAAGTGTGATATTTTAAATACACTTTATGAGTACTAGGGAAGTGGGCATGCACAAAGCTTTACCTCCATATAAAGTAAGTCATACACTCGAGAGACTTTGTTTTCTGAAGCTCGCTTTTTTAGCAATCTTTTGTTAATTGCTGTCCTCCCCCATCCACCCATTGACCCCCATCCACCCATTGCTTGTGTTGGCCATATTTTCTGCTTTTCTTTCCGTTTCATGACAGTGCACATCATTGTTTGTGTGGCTTGGTTTTCTGCTTTTTGGTTTGCTTGGTTCTGCTTTCAGCATTAAATAGCATTGTCTTTCAGGAATCTCCTGCTTGTGAAGTTGCAGTCTGGTGATTGGTGTTTTTAGTTTTTTTTTTGCTTTTTTGCATTTATTCATTCATGTGTCTGTGTGTGTGCCTTTTTTTTTCTCTCATTAGTACTATTTTGGCTGTTGCAATTGGGCTTGTGTCCGACGCTTCTGTGTTGTTTTGTGTTGCGCTTGATGTTTGCATTACCCTTGTTTTGTCACATCACCCCCTCAACCTCCTGCCGGGTTCAATACAAAGGTTACTGTATGCAACGAATGAAGAAAATAAGTTATTAAGCAAGTCCGGATGACTCTCCTAATGGTCAGGGTGTCTACCACTGAATAAAATTGAATTGTCAGGGAATTTGCTTCTAGTGCGAAGAGTAACGAATGTTGTGAGAGGTGGTTACGTTTTCAAATAAATATTAGCTTATTTCACTCCTTCACATGCCTTTCACGTGCACTCCTACGTGCATTTAGAAGTCCCGAACAAAAAAGTACAGTGTATCTGAAGCTTGTCGATACGAAATCACTAATCATGCAAGCACCATTGGAGGATTGAAGCAGGGATCTTGTTGTTTTTCTAAGTTCATGAACGGTCGCAATCTACAGTGGCATGCAGTTGCCAATGACAGATTCGGATCTTTCTCTTTTTTTTTTTTTTTTTCAAATCCGCCGATAGACTTTTTCAAAATATTTTTAGCTAGCTTGGCAAAGTTTGGGTATTCAAAAACGTAACCATGGTGGGCACCCTGAAAGAATAAATTAATGCGGGTCATACATTTTGGTTTCTGGGTAAAGCCTAGTTCACACACACACTTGCATTTGAGCGTAACCGGGCACGTTGCGGTCCCTCGTGATCGCGAGGAGAAACTGGCACGCTGGCACCACTTATCCGATAGCCCTGGTACTACTTATGACCTGACTGAAGGTTTTGCAGTATTTGCAAGATCGAACAGAAGTACAATCTATTGAAAATATTTGATAAAGGGTTTCGCGTTTTCGAATTAATTCGAAAGCTCCAAAAAAACACTTGCCGTTAAAATTTTCTACATATTGGATTTATCCAAAAAAACTTCAAATTTCAAAGCCACGATTACGAGGGCAAGATAAAAAGCGAGAGAGTTTGTATTTTTAAATAAAGTTTGTCAAAGCACAGGGATAATAACCTCCCAAAAAAATCAATTCAGATTTTTTTTTTTTTAACTTGACAAAAAGGAGTTTTTTATTTATCTTGTCAAGTTTCGCTCAGTATGATATGGACCAACATACTTTTAGACCACGGTCTACAACAATAAGCCACCGTTTTGGATTCCAGTTTTGACCGTACTGTTTGTGCTTAGAGGGAGGAATGGTAGTGCTTTTATAAGAGTAAAAGATGTGAACCCATAGATCTCATAGGGGGAAGTGCAGCTGAAGGTTTTGTGCATACGTAAGTTGGACTGTTTAAGACTACCGACGTTTATCGAAGTAATACTTGCTTTTGAGATTTGTCGTGGGCCAGTTAGTACTGCCGAGCGCAAGGGCACCAGTGTCAAACGCAAGCGCAGAAATATCTTTCGATATTGGCGATTCTTTCTTTAAATTTGGCATACGTCATTAATCTAGAGATTTTTATTTGAGAAAAATAAGAACGGAGTAAGAGGGAGCGCAATACATTCAGTCACGCTCGTGCGCAAGTGTGTGAACTACAGTCACTGACAAGGTGAGAACAGCGGGGAAGAGCTTCAGCTGTCCCGCCTGCGGCGCAATCTTTTTACCTTCAACGGCGCTTTGACGTCTCGTGCACCTTGAGCACGCGTGGATAGCCAAAGTGCGGTCAAATGCCGAAGGCATTTGACCGCACTTTGGCTATTCGAACTATGACCGCACTTTGGCTATTCGAAACGCGCCCCGCCGGTCTCATTTTGTAGGTGAATATAGCCTAAAGAGTGGTATGTGGCACATTGACCGACATTAACTGACAAGGACACCCACCTTACCCCGTCCACGCGGTTCCAGTACCCCCACCCCCACCACCAGCGGGGCTCCGGTCTTCCCAGCCCCTCCGGACGTCGAGGCACGGAGGGTTCAGAGGGCCTGAGGTCGCTCTCGTTCCACGTGTCTTCGGGCCAGCCCAAGGCCCAGCCCGTGCATCACCAGGTTGGTGCAGGGCCGACCTTGCGGGGAGCCCAGTTTGAGAACCCCTGGTCTAGAGTTTCTAACTGTCCTCCAAGGTCACTAGGCATTTCCTCAAAACTAAAGAGAGACTGGGAACCCTTGCCATTGTGTCTGTGATATTTTACAGTGAACAACCCACGACAGCGCTGCCGTCAAGCTCGTCACAGTTGTGGGTCACTGTGTAAGCACCTGCAGGGAGCAGAGTAGTGCAAGCTTGAGTGCCATCCCTCAACAACTAGCCATGAATGCCACAAAGGCTCCAACTTTGCATGCAAACGTTCGAAGAATAGGAGACCACACTTTGCTTTCTTACTGCACGGTACACAGTCTGAAAGCTGTTTTTGACAACATATACACTTGCTTTATAAAAACACACTTCTAATAGTTCTTAACCAAAATTGACCCAAGTGGCAATGATTGCGTCTTGACACACTCACGGATGCTCAAAAAGTCTCTGAAACCTATGTTTCAGCTACAAATACCGAGCAACCCAGTGCTTTCTTTTCTCTGCTGGCATGCGTTGTCTGCTACAAACACCTGGTTTTCTGCCCCCCGCAAACTTTTCTAGAGTATGCAGTTTTTACCAGACTACTTTCAGAATGTTCTTGTTCCGCTACCTTCACGTAAAGGTAGTCGTGCAAACTGTATAGGCAGCTTCCTATTTTCAGTTTGCCATTGTTTTAAAATACAAATGAACTGATACATTTGGCCATTGCAATGTGCCTAGCATCTCGATTCTAGAATTTTTTCAGAGCGCACGTAACTGAGGCAACCATGTGACCAGTGCCGACCAATTCAAAACTTTGGGCATTCACCCTGTCATATACATTTGGCCATTGCAATGTACTAGCATCTGGATTCTAGAACTTTTTCAGAGCACACGTGACGGAGGCTACCAGGTGACCACTGCCGACCAATTCAGAACTTTGGGCCTTCGCTCGGTCGTCAATATTTGTGGATCGAAGGATTGAGCTACTGTGCTTCCTTGAGGAACATATACAAGGGCACTATATTGGGCACCAACATTTCTCTGCATTGTTGCCAAGGCTAGCATAGTTACCACAGTCATGCAACCTGGCATTACTGCGAGAGCTTGTGGCTTTGTCTCGTGGCTCATTTCTGCATGCTTTTGTGCAAAGGAGACAGCAAATAAAGCCATGCTCTGGCACAACTGGCTCTGACAGCGTCGGAGCACTGCATAAGCTACGCTGACCTTGAGACACAGCACAAAAGCGGTGGCTTTGATCTTAGAACCAACGTCCTTGGCATTGGTCACCATCCCCACCTGGTCTCACCGCTCGGCACTGAGCGACTTGCATTGCTTTGCTCTAGGTATCCGCTCCCCAGCTGGGCAAGGGGGACTGGGCCCACCACGGGCACGGCCGCAGAAGCGTCCCCGGCAAGGGCAGGCCGCTGGGAAGGTCCACAGAAGCCCGGTCGCAGCTGGGCAGCTCGGCCTCCCTGGAGAACCTCTCCCGGGCATTGATCGGCAACCCTGGGGTAGGGAGGGGAAAATTGATGACTCCCTCGCCAGGAGTGATGTTTTTAGATTTTTGCACACCGTCTGGTGATAGTTACAAAATTGCAGAGGGGAAGCAAATTGGCTTAGAAGAGCTAAGGAAGGTGTTATACTTTTGGTTTTTAGTTTCTAGGCTAGGTGGCGCAAGCTACCACCCAATATAAAGAATACAGCTGTTAGTATCTATCCATCTGTATGCCTTCGTCCCCGGACTCGCGAGGGACGGCTGAGACTTGCGGCACTTCAAGGGCCCTGAGACTCGACATGGAAGAGAGGCGGAAAGGAGAGCAATGTTTATGGGGGCTATATACCCGCACTCAGATTTTTACGGGAATGAGAGAAAAAGGGTTACAGAGAAACATTGACATGTGACACGACAAAATACAGATTGAAAAAGAATGTCTTTTAAAAGCAAGATTATAGGCAACCAATCTGTAACAAACACCAGGAAATAGTGCATCAAGAAAGACATATACATGCGAGGAACATGGCTGGGTGTCTTCGTTGTCACTCTACTGATTTGGCACTTCTTTAAAAGAAAAATTTGTCAAGGGTCAGAATGTTTTTTGTGTTTATGGCTATGGATTCGTTTGTTACACATTGCTTGTGATTTGGAAAAAGCTTAATGGGCAGCTCCGGTCATAAATGAAACTAAAATAAATGACTGGTACCGCTTTAGTGACACAAAATATGATCACATCCGAAATATGTCAATAGTGAAGCCGCATGCTACTCCACTAAAACCGATTTTTAAAGATGCAACCAGTTGCTCTTTAAAAGGCCCTTGAAACGAATATTGGGTTGGGATAAATCATTTTAAATTGGGATTTTACTAATAGCACATCGTTCAGTGGGCCAAAAGAAAAAAGGTAAAAATTCAAAAGCCTGACTTTCAGTGCGAAAATTTGAAATCACAGCGGACTATTTCGTACATCCTCCCCTTCTTAAGGTCTGTTCACACGATGCATCTTTTAGGCGCGCAACAGTTTTGCGACACTCAAGTTTCGCGAAATGTGCTCGTTCACACGTAACGCTTCACGTGCAACAACGATGACGTTTAGACTCGCGAAAATAGTTTGGGTGTTGACCATAAAGTGGCGCTTCAGTTAAAAGCCAACATCATCATCATCACCATTAGCCATTCAGCGTCGTGTTCTCCATCTCCCGCCACGTTCTAAAAACCGAAGCACCTTCTGCCTGCGATTCCATCGTGCGTGAAGTGGCATGTCGGCACGAAAGCGTAGAGTTGTTGAGGCAGCTCTAATAGTTGTTCTCTGCGACGAGGATGCCCCTCCCAAGGAGAAGAGACCGTGGGTAAAAGAGTACAGGGACCCCGTGAAGGACGCCGATGAGTTGAGACACCGCAAAGCAGCCACAAATACGGGATTACAAGATTGGTAATAGAGATCGAGGGAAGTGTGTAATTGCGCACGAAATAATAGGTTATATCGGTTATACAGTTTTACGGGATACAAACGTTCGAAGTGGAATTTGAAAGGTGCACCAAGATTTCTAAGCTAGGTGACGCAAGCTACCGCCCAATATTAGGGGGCACAGCCGCCAGCATCGCCAGCAGCTCTGCCGCCGCTGGTTCGAACACTCCTCCGTCTCCGCACCGTCCTGTTGTTGGCACGGCACCCACGGCGCTTTCGCCGGGACGGGGCGAGACGCCGGCTGTGTGAATGAGGCCTAATTGTCTTCGTTCATCGCTGGATTTTTTTCCGATATGCTTCTCACTTTTCCTTCAGTGGTGCTTAACGTGATTGCGGAAGCGCCAGCAGTATCCATCGTTCGTGGTTTCGGTTTTTTTCGGATTTAGCTCGGCTACAACACCGGCAGTGAAGTGGTATTCTCAAACAGCTCGCTCCCCCCTCAAAGGCCACGTGAGGGTGTTTCTGATTGGCCATTGGCGGCGCTCTCAGAGTGATTGACAGGACTCGGCAAAGTTTCAGCAAAAGCTTGCTCCAGAAGCAAGGTGTGCGCGCAACTTTACTTGAGACGCGCGCATCCTTTTTGGACTCGTTCAAACGGCAAAACCATTTCGCGAAACTACAATTCGCGAAGCTAGATGCGCGAAAAAAATGCATTGTGCGAACGGGCCTTTAAGCTCTCTGCCTTTTCACTGTGATACATCCTCAGTCCCAATAGCACGTCATCGGGCTTAAACGCACGTCACACGAAACCGGACCTCACTTAGTCTCTTCACCCCTAAGCTGACATTGTGGTGGAAGCTACGCGCTTGCCGGACCAATCAGTTGTTTCCCTTTCATCATTTGACCTCATTCTCTGCGCGTGGTTGTGCGCGAAGGAGCATGATCACGTGGCGAGTCTGGCTGGCCCAACGAGCGCATAGCTTTCACAGCACTGTCGGCTTCGAGGTGAACTGGTTGGGGAAAACAACTTTTGTCTGAATTTGGAGCGACGGGCTAATCTTTTAGGGGGACAGTGGCTCTGTCCGGGTACACAAACGAGATTCCGAGCAAGAGGTGGCCCCCCTCTTTTCGTCTTCTTTAACTGTTTGGTGGAATGCGTGATTTATGAGTTGAGGAGGAAAGCTAAACAGGAAAAAGTTGGAAAAGCGTTTTATGACCCCTTTAACAGGTGGCTAGCGGGTTAGCTTTTAGCGAAGCAACACTGGGCGACGTGTACCGCAGCACCCCTCTGACGTCACGTCGCGGTAGTGCTGCGGTTTATTCTACTCATTGTACCAGGTACCACAGCATCCCCGTGACATAGCATCGCGGCTGTACAGCTGATGGTCAGTGTTGCCATCCCTCTAGCACACAGTTTCGGTTTTGCCGTGGACGTCCAAAATTAAACTTTGAGCCGTTACATTTATAAAACTACACTCGATGTCGAGAGAGAAAAAATTACACCTTGTAATTCAGGGACACGAACTGAGCTAAACTCAAAAATATTAGCCGGAGTTGTCCTTTAAGGATGGGATCTGCTCCTTTGTGCTGCTATGCTGCATCATCATGTCACAAACTGTAAATTGCTGTAGATAACTGTTGCCACATGATAGGAGGTTTGTAGTATTATGTAAAATCCCTTTTAGACCAGAATGAGCATCCTGTAATTGCCACTGTCACGCAATGGCGTGTGACAGTGGCAGTCTCACAACTGCTTTCTGCAAGAAAGCAGTTGTGTGAGAAGGATAGTTCAATTAGAGTTGATTGACTACGTACCCTCAAAGGCCAAAAAGTCTGAGAAGCCATGGTTTACATTACACCTGTTTGGTCTAGATCAGGTCCGATTAGGTTGCAGGTAGTCCGGTTAAGTTAGACGACTCAGAAAACATGCGACCCTGAGGTGACGAATCCGGTGTCAGTCGACGCAGGGAGTCGTGCCGACGCACTCGCGGCAGCGGTCAAGCCCGGATACCCTGCTGTACACAATGGAGCCCATGGACTACCCCGCCGAGGAGGAGCCTCCCCTGACCCCATGCCAGGACGTGGGCATGGGGCTGTTTGTGACGCATTCCTCGTCCCCAGAATTTGTGCCGCCCAAGGTAAGGGGGTCTCCATAGCACGCTCAGTCACTGGCTTCGACGGCACGTCTCGTGCCATTGCGAGACGCCGCATAAACACAACACTTGCACTTCCTCACATTTTGCTTGCACTGATTAATGTCAGACACTTAAGTCCTGCTTCCTAGATTGGAGCTATACATAGCACATTTCACAAAGTGAGTTGTTGTCTCCTAGCCTTTCAGCAGCGAAAGGAAAAATATGAAAAGCCTGCAATCAATTGTTTCGATTGTTTGTGCCAACTGTGTCGTTGTCTGTACATTCCTCACGCATCAATAAATATCAAAGTGTAGGTGGAATGTTTCGTTCTGCTATGCTTAATGTCCTTGTTACCGTGTTCTTTGGTTTGTGACGCAAGAGTCCGCACGCTGTTGGTGTTTCAGGAGGGCCTGTTTGGCCAAGAAGATGGCACCGAGGGAACTCCAATGCTGGCAGCCCTGGGCTGGAACATCGAAGATCCGGCAGAGGACACTGAGGACGCCAACACTTCGGAGGAGGTGCGTGCCTTTTTGTTTCTCTGGCCTGGCAACCGGACACTTTCTGCTGCCGGTGCTCCGCACCCGCCGCACTTCCTTGCCCTCACTGAAGTCGCTGCACCTCGGAAAACAGTGCCAGTGGTCAGGGCGACGGAATTTTTCAAACCGGCGACTTTACGAGCGTTGCAGTTGACTGTGTTTGGCGTTTCTCTGGTGGCAAACCTGTCGTGAGGTGGCACAACTTTCAGCGTACACTGTTTTGATTTCCAGACAGGGGCATTTTCGCAAAAAACGCGCACCTATGCACTTTCCACTTCAGCTTGCTCCTTCTCTCGCACATGCTCCTGCACTCTTCCCCCCTTTTCTCTCTGGGATGTTCCCTTCAAGTGGGGTGTGTGGCAAGCCTTGTCCTCCTTTTTTTCAGTCTCCCTTCCTTCCTTTCCTGCCATTGTAGTTGGGGGAAGGAGGACACTATTAGGATCTTCTGCAGTGCAGAAAATTTTTTTATGTTATAACAGTGACTATTAAATGCTGTTGCTTTGTTTTTTTTATTATCTTTGGCCCTTAGTTGCATACTAAATTAATGTGAGGTGCTCAGTGTGAAAAGGCTAACATACTGTTGTTTTTTAACCACTATAAAATCCTATAAGAATGTCCACCCATAATGAAGAGATAACTGCTGACCTTTGGGGAGGCGACAGGAAATTTGGATCAAAAATTACTAATAACCCTCCCCGCTACGAACCATGTGAACTGGGAATTGATACCACAAATTGCAAACAGGAAAAATTGCAGTCTGCGGTGAGATAAACGCTTGCGAATTCGTTACAAACTCTCCCACTACAGGAACAGATCCCGCAGAACGCAGCAGATTCGTGCTTCACAGTGCGATAAACAGACGAAAATTCTCTACTAACCCGGGTGTCACTGGAACCGATATAGCGTGGGCAGGTCGCGAACAAAAGCGCAGAAACACGCTACAAACTCGCATGTCGAGGGAATGAATACCGCAGGTTGCAGACGCAGCAGATTCACATATCACAACCCATACCAGCCCCCCTACCTGTGCCACTGATAGCAAACAACAGCTATGACAACACAATCGCAATCTTAACCACTGCACACACTGGCTGCCGATTGCTTGTGGGCATTTTAACATATCTAAATGAAACACAAACTTGCCACACTGGTTACCACTTTGCTTCGCTGGCTACGCCCTAAAAACTGCTGTATTAAAAAGCATGCCTACCGTAAGATCCCGAGAGATGCCCCCTTCCCAAAGATAGCCCACCGCTATTTTTGGCTTGATTTGCTATGTTTTTTAAACACTGAAAGATAGACCACTCCTAGCGATAGTAGTGTTGGGATCAATGATGGCCTCGGCATAAATGTGGCTAGATAGCTTTGGCAGGATATAAGCTAACGTTGCTGACTGGGACGTACAGTCATCTTTTCTTTGTTGCCCCTCGCAACCATAACCAGTTCGGAAGGAACGCAACCTAAAAATAGCCATCTTTTAAAGATTTTCTTGATTGTACATTGAAAGTTAGCCCACTCCTTATTCTCACCCGATTTGCTCTTGATGTTAGGTTGGCTATCTCTCAAAAATTTATTGTAAATACAAAAAAAAAAAAAAAAAAAAAAGTTTTATCAGTTTGGGACAGTTAGATTTGGTGTTCATCTAGAGAATGTTTCCTGAAATCCAACACTAAAAGAGAAACTAGAATACTTCAGTGTTTGTCACCTATATCTGTGTATAGGTTTTGCAAAATGGGCAATGGAAACCCATATACAAAAGCAGGGACAAAAATAGCGACCTCTCCTGACCTTGGCACTGGTTTTCTCAATAAAGTGACTCTAGGCTGCACCACTCACATTATTTTTACAAACATTGCCACGTGCTTCCGGCTAGGTGGCATAGGGGCAACCACAAATCCCTGAAAAGGGGTCAAAAGATTGAGTGGGCTGACATGCAGCTAATTGAACTAAGAATTAAGCGGCAGCGCTGCTGCCTAAACCATCATCATTTGTTGTTTTGTGTGCTTCGTCAGAGTTTTGTAATGGCTCTTGAAGGACTCAGCTTTGTCAAAATGGTGGGTCGGCAGCTTTTTCAGCCTATTAGTCTCCCATTGAAAGCATAAAAAAAAAGGAGGCCTTAACTCTACATTAATTTAAGTTGCAAGTTAAATATCCTGAGAACCTTATACTTTTAAAATTGATAAGCAAATGATAACCGATTTAGATGGTAATTAGGCATGCGTTTCTAACCCTGCTTTCATAATGCAGGCAGGTGCTCTATGTGCATGACTCACAATCGCACCATTTAAGAACAAAGTCTGCCCATCCACTTCCCGTGAAGCACGGGGGTAGGCAATCATGGCGATTGGCAAAAAAAGCCTAACGATTCTGACGGAACAGAGACAATATACTTGCGAGAAAATGCTCTCCCTGCCGTAACACAGCATGTCATACACACGCTCAGGCACGGATCACTCTTTTTTTAAAGAAATTTGTTGACCCCTTTGGCTAAGTTTCTCCCATTAAATGCAATGATTGGCCGTGCGTGGGTACCACAAGAAAATGGGTGCACCACCAGTCTCATTCATAAACAATGCGTCTATGGCTCGAATAAATAGGGCATAATAAAGATTTTGTACAAGGAAGTAACACCCAGCACTTGCAGTGCACAAATAATTGAGGCTTGGAAGCATCATTAAAAAACAGCAGGACACCCCCTCCATTTGCCATTTGATTAGAATGCGGTGGAGGGCACTGGGTGCACACCACCCCGTTCTAAAGACTAACATTCCATAATCATCATCTAGCAAAAACTTCTTCCGAGGTCTCGCCAGTCAAAACAAGCTGCCGGGTTAGTTGAAGACGGCAGCTCCGTCGGTTGGCAGGGGAACGATGCCGTAGCTTTCGCACAAGCCTTCTCACGTCATGAAACGTAGCCTACTGACCCCTGCACATTGTCTTACAGCTGCTAAGTTCCCCCATTGCCTCTTGTCCGGAAACTTTGCTGCATCGTTTAAGGCCCCTTCCCCTATAATCCACGCTCCTGCACTACAACGGAGTCGGCTCTGTGTCCACCCGGAGTCTGCTCGTTTTCTTGCTTTTTTACATGCGTACCAAAAATGAGAAAACATGGGAAGGCTTCTGCATTGGTTAGGATACTGTGTTCCCATTGTTATTGTAAAAACTCTAAAGAAGTAGTCGGACAACAGTGTAATTTTATCTAGTGAGTTTTGATAGTAGTACAATTTACTTCCGAGGACCTCCGTCTCGCGTTACGGCGGCAAAGTTTCCGGACAGGATGAAGGTTGTGGGGTGCACGCTTCCCTGCGCCGCTAACGCTGCTGCACCCTCCCCGGCACCGTGGGCTTCCCCCACAGGCACCCCCAGAGCTAGCAGAGCCACTCCAGGAAGCCTGCTTAGAGGCCAGTAGCCCCATGGAGGGCCGGCCCCTCCCACCCATCCCTGCCGACGCCCCCCTGGGCACCCTAACCGGCTCTAGTCAACAGGTAACTAACACACACTCCTCGGGCTGCCGGGGGCTCAAGATATCTGGTAGTGGTAGTCGTGGACTGTCTTAAGTGGCTCCTCCTCCAAAGGCGCTAGTTCGGAGGTCAAATAGTCTCCACAAATTGTCAAGCAGTTCCCTTTGCTTTAGAACTGCGAGCACTTGCACTATGCTTCTTGTATTGAAGGATCACTATTCCGTCTTGTCGTTTGTTGCAAACGACGAGACGTTGCAATGCGCCTTGCGCATTGCAACGTTATACCGTGCAGAAGCTCGTTGATGATGGTAAGTGCCGGCATCATCCCCCACTGCAAATCACGTCAGACATTGTTTGACTAGGGTAAATGAGCTCTCGCCGCATTTTTGGGAGTCTTAGTATCTCTCATTTTGTCATGCGACTTCCAGAGAGACTAATGTAGTGTAACTCGCACATCTGTTTTTTGTTTTTTTTTTCTTCAAAAATAAGTTTGCACTCTTATCTTGTCAGTTTTTCTCTACTGCAGCCGTGACATTGTCATTGGACGAAAAAATGTGAATGTTCTTGCCTAGTATTCTAGACAAAATATCACTGTGCATGTTGCTTGCCGAAAGTACCCAAAGGCACAAGAGGCAGCACTAAAATGCGTAATCTGATTGGGGAAGTGGCTCTTTGTTTCTGCATCTTTTTCCTGTAGGAATTCTTTGTCTTCCTTTAGGTGGGTTTGCACTGTCTTGTTTTGACAAATTAAGGTTTATGTTCTTGCTGTTTGGAGACCACTGGGTACTTCAAAAAATCTTCTAATTGCATTCTAGTACACTTTTGCTAGCTACTACTTAGTCTCCTGGGCTTTTTATGCGTGAATATATTTTGAGTGTGTGCTTCCTGCTTGTTTCCTGTTGTCCTGTTCCAAAATCCCCAAATGCCACTAGCAAAGCACACAAGGAATTATGGGAGCCGTATGAACATGTGTTGCTAAAGAGAGCAACGGAGAGAAGGTATAGCGCAGTGGCTTGCCTGCTCTCGCCCATCCACTTGTTTGCACTATGTTCGTCGTCTTCTACAATCAGGTCTATACAGCCAATTAATTCCCAGAATTCCCTGCGTCATCAGCAAAGGGTGGTGCATGTTTTGCAAAAAGTCTATTAGCCACTGATGCCTTTGCCAACTCTCGGTAGTAACATTAATTCTAATGGCGCTAAAGGACTAGTGTAGTCATCCTTAATTTTAAAGGCAATAGTTGATAAAGCAGCCACAAAAAAAAAAAATGTCAGGACTTACGAAAAATGTACCTTTGAACAATGAGCTTCTCAGAAATAAAACCGCATAAAATGTCAAATTTTCTGGCAAGGTTTTTCAAAAGTACCTTGACATTCTTTGTAAAGGCGTAGTGAATGCATGGGAAAGATAGGAATACCTATTGACGTGTTTTGGGGAAGTGCTAGGCACTTACAATGGTCTTACTTTTAACAAGTTGTTCAATAACAAACACTTCTACAAAAACCATCTAACTCTGCACAGGATTTATTGTGTTTAAATGCTGATTTACTTAAAAATCTGTAGTTAAATATTTACATTTTGCATATTACAGGGATGGAACTGCTGCACCAATTGCACCATTGTGTGCCTAATGACTTTTTATGCGCCACACTGATACAAAACTATACCGTACTTACTCGCATAATGAACGCACCCCCCACAACGGGTACCAATATTTGGACTTTTTTTTTTTCCCTTCTCGTAATCAATCCACCTCCAATTTTCGGCTTCGCGAGTCTCAAATTGCATCCGATTTAGCTAGCCACCAAGCCAATTTTCTTTTGCCGCCAAGCAGTCGGGCCAAATCAAGCCAAGCCAAGCCGCTCTTGTAATGGCGGCAAACGGCCGCATGTGCGTAGTTGGTTGCGGAAGTGATAACCGGTGAAACTGAGTGGCGCACGCACTTGACGAAGCTTGGGACGAGGAATCGCCCAGCCCCAGACATTCTTCGCCTATTGAATGCATTGATGTCAACAAACACGCCGTCTTCTGTGGTCCGCTTTCGGACAGCGAAATCGTGAAAGTGGTTAGGCCTAATCTCACATACTCGGGGTAAATGCGTTTATTTATTCCGTAACAGGATGGCGCAGCAAGGAGCACGTTACATCGTAAATGGAGAGGTTTTGGTAACAGCCGTCTCCGTGACCGAAACTTGATCCGTGGGAGCAGCCTTCGTAGTCGCAGTATATACCTGAGCGCACCGCCGGATCGCTCCCTCGGCGGTGCGGTTGGCTGTCGGACCTAGTCGAGTCCTCATAACGTGTAGTCGTGGTATACACCTGAGCGCGCCACCGGATACTAGCAATATATATTACCTAAGAACGGTCACGTTGCTTTCCGTGCTGAATGAGCTTCATAAGGCGCTTTTCCTTCTGCAAAAGGTATGCCAAAAGTGCCCTAAAAAGATTCGCAATTTATAAAGCATGGTTTCTGTGGCGCGCCCCTGACCAGCCGTGGGTACGCCTCGATCAGTGGAGACGTGCCACAGTACTTTGCCGTGTCATGTTGGCACGTAATATGACATTTGCACGTAATATTTTGGCACGTAATATGACATTTGCCCCCCTCCCCCCCCCCCCCCCCCCCCTCAAATATGTGTCAATTTTTCGGGGAAAAAAGTGTGTTCATTATGCGAGTAAATACGGTAAATAAGAATGAAATTGCACCAAGGTGCACCGAAACAAATTATAAACGAGCCTCGTCGAAATTTGCTGTCTCATAATTTCTGTTGGCAACATTGATATCGGAACTTCTGGTTAAAGGAAACGCCGGTAGATTCGAATTTGAAGCTTTGTATCGAAGGTCACTGCCACGGTTATACTTCGTTTCAGCTTAAAGCAGTTTTTACAGCATCCCCTATTACGGTACTTCTGCTACCAGACCTCTTTGAAGCCGCTCGCTGTCGCTGTGCTTCATCTAAATCCACGCGCAGATGATGCTAGAAGCGCTAGCTCCGGAGTTTCAGCGTCCCTGCCAAGAATATGCACTCGAGCAGTGCAAGCACTGTTCAAGGCCACATGCTTGCGCTTGTAGCATTGGCTGTGTCTGAACATAAGCTGAAACGAAGTGTTGCTGCCGTTGCTCTGTTCTTTTCTGGAGTCCTGGAGTCACTTCATCTGAATAGTGGAGCAAACAGCATCGCCATAATGCTATAAACTCAGATGTATTTAAGTTGGCCCACCTCCCTCTTGGCTATACTTGAGTGCCTATTAGACGTTTCCACTGTTTACAAAAATTACAGTCCACACGTGCAAAATCACAGTCCAGCCAGCGCTCACTCGCAATTGTGGCCAGCCAGAAACTGCACGTACATAAAGGCCCATTCACGCTCTTGCAACCCATTAAATCTGGGTTCCTTGAAACCTCTTACAACGAGAGGACACACTGGCACCATCTATTGGGTAGCAGTGTAAACTTGACAGTCCGGCATATTTTTTTATTTCTCTCGCACATTATCCTTTCTTTCTTGGCTCGAAAAACTGTTGTCAACGTTATAAATGAGCCTTTCTCATAGGTATTATACTCATTTGACCCCGGAAATACCGCAAAACCTTCGCTCTTGTGAAATGCAGTTCCAGGGTCACCGCATAGATGGCGCCAGCGTGCCAGTGTGTTTTGTCGTCCTAAGAAATTTTAAGAGTTGTTTTAACAAGTGTCGTCTCTCTCGGTCGTACTCGGTTGCTAGAGTGTGAACGGGCCTTTACACACAAACACAGCAAAGATTGTGCCCTAATACAGTTTTATGGAGGTTTGTTTATATTTACCTCTTTGCAGTTGTTTTCATCACGTGTCACACTGCCTTGCAGTTTTGCTTTATACACCAACTCATGTTTACAAACAAACCGGAGCGCCCGGAACGCCTCTAGCGGACGCCACCGGCGCCGCGCATGCGCGATGGGGGTGGGGGCAAGACGCTCGCCGTCGCCCATAAACAAACCATTGAAATGCGATGTTATCGGCGTCTGTGTGAGTCCCCCTGCCCTTTTTCGCGTTCGAATTGTTGATTCTACGTCTTCCTGGCAATGTCTGACTACTTGAGCGGCCTCAGCGAAATTAACAAGGCTTGTTACACCCCAAAACTTCGCGTCAATAATGTGACATGCGGCGATTCATTCCGCGTGGACGCCGCAGAATGTACGCTAAAGCCTGATTCGCATGATGAGATTTCGCTCGCTATTTTCAGTCGCAACGTCGCTCGGGCTACAAAAGCGTGAACCGAAGCTGAGATGGTCGACGTCGATACTGAAAATCGCAAGCAGAATTGGACCAAGTGAATTAGGCATAACAAGTCGGTGCTGGTCGCTGGTAACAATGATCAACATCTCCTTTTATCTACTGTTTACATCGAGCCTGCTCACCAACCTTCAAATTTAGGTCTTTTGAGGCGTGCATTACTTCTTATCGCAAGTACCGGGGTATTCTGTCTACGGGCCGGCGTTGTCTGAGAGAGCAGACGACAAGCAGACAAGTCTGAAAGAGCAGACGACAGTTCGAACGATCAGGTGGCCGTTTGAACTTGAAGACGCACTGAACGTAGTCCGCAGGTGGTCCGCACAACTTGACGGTTTTCTGGCGTTTATGTTGGAACAAAACAAATAAATCTGATGGCCACAAGTATCCGTGAATTCAACCCAAAGTGCTTCCCACCCAAGCAATCGTTGTCCGACGGCGTCTGCTTTTCCCTTTTCACGGCACGTATCCATATTCTCGGACGAACCGAGCACGTGAAAACTGACCTTCAAACCTTTCTCGACACTTTTGGTACGGCCCCAGTCGCGGCGTTTTGACGAGAAGGCAGGTTTCTGGTTAGTTCCTTTCAAAACAACGCAGGAACACACGTCTGGCATGGGGACTTCTGCCCACAGCCCCAGACCGGAAATGCGACCGACGCGCCACCACCGCGCCGTGACGTAACAGAGATGAGTTCGTGTATATGTTTTGTGTAATCGTCATGTATTTCGTGAAAAATGTTTCAAATAAAATGTTTATTGAAACTACCGTTAAGTTTACATGAAGTTATCTGCATGCCACATTTTCTTCAGTTTTGAAAACCAAGGGACATTTAGCCTCTATTTTCATTATTCAAAACTCGTATGCCGCTCCCAGCCTGCTCCGAACTGTAGTTTTTTCTGCTCCCAAGATTGCTCCAAAGCTTCTTTGCCCAGTTCCATCCCTGATACTAGAGAAGTTGGTGTAAGAGAGTATTGCTGTAATTTAGTTAGTCCACCAGCAGTTTTGGTGACTAGTTAGTGCAGCGACAACTCCTTATCTGGGTACTGCTGTTTGCAGTACTGAACTAAAGGGACGTTTTGAGCCAGTTGGTTCACAACTAGGAAGGAAGGAGTCAAGCTCCACAAGCTCAGCATTCAATACACCTTACCCAGAAACATGGCAAGAACAAATTATTGACAGGCGTGTCATTCTTCAATGGTCGGTGGTTGACAGGTCTGCAGTTGCCAAGGAATTACAAGATTGGTTTTGTTCGGTTGGCGACATTGCAGGAGTGTCATGAAGGTTGCCAACAAAGTATTTTTGTCATATCTGTGAGGATATGTTTTTTGGGGGAGGAGGAGGGGGGGGGAGGGGGGTTTGCTGAATAAAATGTGACCCTGAAAAACAGCACAGATCACAAGCTCCAAAGTCAAAACTCGGACAGGTTCAGGCCCATTTAGATCTATTCTAGAGCCCATACTTTTGTGCTTTACTTGTGATCCCTTTGACACACAGTGGCTCCAAACCAAGGTGCCCAAGGGGTTTCGTGGTTGTCAGCTGTTGTTTCTCATTGCATGTGTCCTTCCGTGTCCAGTATGGGACTCCCCCAGAAAGCCAGCCTCCTATGAGCAGGGTGCCCATTCAGCAGATAAGCATCATCTCCATGGACGACGACGAACGAACCTCAGACTCGGAAATGGTGAGTGCACCTTTGCCCCCTTGCATGCAGTCAACTGCAAAGGGTGTCTCGAGACATTGTTCATTCATCAAACAAGCCATGCCAGTTATTTGTTAATTATGCAAGGGGCAGCCATTATTAGGGCAACTCTATGCAAAGGGCACTAATCGAATTGCATTCAATCTTATCTGCTTTCCAAGGTTTACTCCCCAACCCTGTTGGATTTAATATGCTTTCCCCCCCCCCCCCCCCCATTCTTAATGCGTGACATTTCGTGGCGTGAGTCTGCGCGAGTCTCCACTTGGTGCATGTGAAAATTTACCGAAGAAGTTAGCCAGAATGCTGGTGTGGTGTGCATACGTTTCCTCTCCAACCATTCTACTCTTCTTTCCTTTAGTCGCATCTGGGAGACAACGGCCCTTTCAACAACATCTGGAAGCTGCTGCGGCACCCCGCTCACCTGGCCGTCTTTCTCAACTACCTGCTCTCCAACCAGAACGATCCGTCCAGCCTGGTACATTCTTTTTTTGTACACTGGGAAGCTGTCATTGTACCCTACACTGCATTCATTTTTTTTTTTTTTTTTTTTTTTTTTAAGGTTTTGGGGTTTTTTTTTTTTCTCGAGTTGGGCTATAAGCCAAACAAACTAAAAAGGTCTGAACCCTTTTGTAAAAGAAATTTGGAAGGAAGACCCATTGGTCAATGAGTTTATGTTTGTTCAAGGTTGCTAGGGAAACCTGAAAGCAAACCACTGGCATTGAATGAAAATAATGATCTACAGTAAACTTTACTTGAGTGAACTTCAAGGGACCCGAGGAAATAGTTCACTTAACTGAAAGTGCACTAAACTGAATATATTTTCTAGAACATGGACCAGCACAGGGCACAGCATACATCGAGTCAAAAGTGTGATATGCAATTTATGGAGTCGCAAACATCGACAAATATACAAAGTGCATAACAGTTATGTTGCTGCCTTTCTCATTTTGAAAACAAATTTGTAATTTTCATTTGCACCAGCGCTCTTGAAGCGCATGAAGTAACAAAGCTGTCCAGAGGGTCTACGTTTTTTTGCACTTCCTCTGGCACAGCTTGTTGCTGGGATGAAGCCATACCAGAGTGTCATCGTCCACTGGCTTGAGATATCCTGTGCAGAGTCGTTTCCTGTTGAGATTGAACGCAGTTTCTCCTTCAAGCTTCGACTTTTGCTTCACTATTGTTGACAGCGTCAACGGTGGAATCCCATAGTCCTTTGCAAGGTTCATTTGCCTTTGACCGTTGTCCAGACGCTGAAGGATTTTGAGCTTCTCTGATAGAGACAACTGTTTCCGTTTCATCATACTTATTACGAAAGTGGACGCACAAACTGCCGTCCTACTGTTATCCAGAACTAAGATGGTTGAACGGAACCAATGAGAAAGAAAAAAAACAGACACACCACGTGGTTCGTTTTTATCTGCCACACTGCCGTTTTGCCTCGGCGGCGCTGCAAACGCCAGCAATGATACACTGCCGCTGCGGAGGCGGCAGCAATGGGGCGGTGGGTGTCAGCTACGCCAGCACTGCAGGGCACAAAACTTCGTTGAACTGATTGCAAAAATAATCCTGGGTCCACCGATCAAGTTCGTTGAACTGAAATATCCACTATTCCATAATTTGTTTTTCGTTTAACTGGGAGGGGGCATTTTTATGAGATTTTACGGTATTTTTATTTGTGTGGGTGATATTCTTTGATGTGGTTTTTGAGAAGCTGAGGCTTATTTCTTTTTCTTTTTACTTTTGCGTCTCAGCTGTTCTTGATCATCACGAACCTGTACAAGCTGGGAACTGGCAAGGAAATGAAGAAGTGGGCCTACGAGATCACGTCCACCTTCCTCGTCCAGAGGGCCGTGAGTGTGACACCTTCTTTCCTTGGAAATAGAGGAAGCGATGCTCTGACAGTGAGAGAAAGACTGAGAGATAACAGCATCATGGTTCAAACGTGGTGTAAGCTCGCACCCTAAATTTGAAGTCCTGGTGTCGGGCAAAAAATGTTAAAAACGAGACGTTCTTATCTTGACATACAATTTTTCTTTTTCGAGCTAGGTTTTTTTTATTATTGTCCACTCGGTAATTCAGTCACTTCATTCAAATTTTCAGTTGGTTAAAAACAGGAGTGCGGTCCCGGCAATCACACACACAAGTCTATGGGAAAAAACTGGCAGTAATTTGAATGACCTCTGGGGGCTGGTTAATTCTAAGGTTTTTTTATGTCCTCAAGAAGTCCGGCAACTCTGGGAGCACAGAAACCTCACGATTATGCTGACCAAGCTTAAATCGCACCCATGCACACTTTATCGCTTTTATCTACTGTGTTCGCGGTCAGGAAAAAGAAGGAATGAGCGCGGCGCACGAACAAGCCGTCAGGTGGCCAAGCCTATTATGCGGCCAAGTCACACCAAGCTAAGCCAGCATGGCTGCGGGAGCGCGCATCGTGGTGTCGTTCCCACGAAAGTTACGAAAGTGAGTGCGGTCGTTCAGCGCATGCAGCCGACAAAGCTTGGTTTCAGGCATTACTCAGTTCTATGAGATGTTTTGTCCATTGAATATATTGATAAACATGTCGTGGTCTTTAGTCCGCTTTTAGACAATGGCATTGTGCAAGTGGCTAGGCCTTGGAATGTTCCCGTAGCTTGTCCATGCCGACTGGCCGAGTGCCGCTGACATGGAAACTGCTGGGGACACCATGGAATACAATTTTGCGTTTTCTTTGGCGGAGAAACTGCTAAAGACTCCCAAGAAAGGTTCACAATTTCGGGAGCATAGTTTATACTGTGCGTCTTTGTTAGCGGAATACTGCAAGTCTCCGTTAGCCGAGTAAAGCTGAGTTCAACTTCTCCCAATGAGTACTAAATAAAAAAAATAAAGAGTTTCTTTTTTTTTTTTAATTTTAAGTTGTTTTTTTTTTGTTTGTTTTTTTTGCATATTGCCGTTCTTGCAAGTTTTGAATTATTGAAGGTCGACTGTACAAAAAGTACAGGTTTAACCCATTTTTCTCTTTCAGCCGCTGAGCATCGCCAACATTGACGACGTCATCCTGAAAGAAATTGGTGAGTGTTTCGAGTGCACTGCTGTGTTCTTCGTGCTTTTCAGTATTGCTTGAATCCTCTGGAAAATGTCTGCCGTTTATTTTATGGTCCAGTCGAATTATTTTGTGGTGAGGAGAAGAGGTAGGCAAGTTGATGGTAATGTAACATTGTGGCGGTGTACATGAAAACACTGGGAAGGATGAAGTGGTAAGCTGAACATTTTAAATGCAGCTCCTGCAAAAAATCTCAAGTGGAGATGTTTGCAACCACCAAAGCTTTCCAGCTTTGAATGTTATAAGTAGGGTGAAGCCTTGAGAAGTACCATAGACTGTGTGATGTTTTAGAGGTACAACAGTTAGTTGATGCCCCAGGGAAGACCACCATCATTGGCCAGGATTTGCCCAAGATTATATCAAACATTCTCAAGAAAAATGGCAATAGTTGCCCGCTATGGGTAACGTTTAGCGCAAAGGTTCTCAGACTCATTGATCTCAATGAACCCCTCTCTGGCTTAACTGAAAGCCGTGGTCTTGGCGGTGATGCAGTGAAGTAGTGCTAGAGCCTATAGACCTTGTAAGCAATAATGCCCACACTTGGGAGTGTCTGGCTCACAGTTCTGCTTCAGTGGGTGGCCCTTCTTTATAGTGCTTAATCTTGGAAAACACTTTACCTAGTGTCAAGGAAATCTTGTAGCTTGGGGAACCCCTGGGTTCTTGGGAACACAGCTTGGGAACCCATGGTTTTGCAGACTAAACGTAGGCTCATTTAGGTCTCCCAAACGAGGAGCGACGTCCCAAACTATCATCCTGTAGGCAGTTCCTCACCTGTGAGTTTCGGCGCTAGTTTTGCATTTGCTCCCAAGCGGGCCGGTGGGTGCCCCTGGGGCCAACAGCGGTACATTGTCAACCGCTGGAGGGGGGGGTGCTGGTGTGAGCGATGCCTAACGGGTTGCAGACCAAGTGCTCCAGAACAGCCAGGATCATGACGAGGACCTGAAGGACGTCTTCCTCAAGGCCCGAGAGAAGGCCATGGAGCAGCTCAAGAAGCTTCTCATGGACTACCGCAACACCAGGACTATACGTGAGCCGCCATTCCATACAAGTGATTTCAAACACTGTTTTCATGCGAGTTTCGGCTAAAAGAGCAGTTCTTAGCATTATGGGGCATACAGTTCTTAGCATTATGGGGCATCATTATAACAGACCTTGGTAGTGGTTAAGATTTTGGTCTGTTGTAAAAGAAGTATGAAAAAACAAATACAGTGTAGACCGCATATAACGTATGTCTCGGGAGTCGCGAAAATCCGCACTACAGTGGACTCCTCTTAAACGGAACTCGAAGGGACAGAAAAATTTGTTCCGTTTATCAGAAGTTTCATTAAAGCAAAGCACATAAAATGAGTGAAATATGACTTTATTTCACAAGCATGATGTCCAGCTAATGTAGCTGACTAGAAAAAAGAGGTAATGGTAGTTTGTTTTGCATTTTGTAATCGCTTTTTGACGAAGTAGGTGTGCATGCCTTGGAGGTACAAAGGTTTCTGTTGACTGCTGCACCTTCCCCAGAAATAGTCCTAAAGACTAGGCCGTGGCGCTTTTTAAAACGGCTGAGCCAACCGAGCCAACCGTCGCTCATTTTGAAGTTATCTATTCCCAACTGAGACGCAATCTCTCCAGCCTTTTCTTCGAGGATGGGGCCGCTGATCGGGAAATTAGCACTTCGCGCGCGCTTAAACCAGAGAAAAAGGACGTTCTCTATTTCCTCAAAAGGCGTCTTTCGCATCCTCCTTCGGTCGGTGGCAAAGCTTCCGCGCTTTACAGCGTCTTGAATCTTTTCTTTGTCCTTTGATATCCTTGAGAGTGTAGACGGTGTAGACTTCGGGATATCGAACTTCCTTGCGATCTCCGTCTTCGAGAGGTCACCACGATCCAGCTCTTGAAGGATCTTCATTTTCGTAGCAAGCGAGATTGCTTGGTGCGGCCGCTTTTTTACCGCTTCCATCACAACACGGCAAGCGGACGCTGGTTTGTGTAATCGATGGTAAACGTGACGCGCAACAGACGAGGCGCTAACCCTAATGGCGGTAGAAAGACTGGATTGGATTGCCTTAATATAATGGCTTGGATGGATGGATGAATGGCTGTACCGTACCCTTTGTAACGAGCGGCACCTCGCGTCACCTAGCCTAACTTTTTTTTTTTTTTTATAATAATATTTGTATAAATTTTGTTCTAACACAACCCCTTTCCCTTTAAAGTGTCCTCAGTCTTGGCTATTGCGTACTCCATGGTTGTGAGACTGCTGTAGCTATTTCCGATGTCCGCGGTCGCCATGGGTAGTTTCGGTTTCGGTCCCGTTTAACCGAAGTAAGCAAAAAGGGGGGTTCCGATTACCCGAAGAATTTATCATTAAATACATAGGAAACCAACCGAAACAACCTTTAGAGTTCCGTTTATCCGAATTTTCCGTTTAAGCGAGTTTCGTTTAATGGGAGTCCACTGTATAAGCGGGACCGCGCTATAACCAAAACATAAATTTTTCAGGCCAAAATACATGCCATGAGACAACTTATCTTTGTAAAAGAATTTATTTTATGTTAGATGAAAAATAAAGCTTAGTTTGAGGAAAGTCTTTATTTTAACAGACTAGTACAGTTCTGTCTCAAGTGTGCTACACATTTTGAAAGAAATGAGCGGCTTTTGCCTGGCGCAGCCTTTTAACGACGTCGCGGGTTGCGGACGGACGTTGCGAGCGTTCAGGATTGCTAACCCTAATCACTTTTCTCCGGAGATGAAAACGCGTGAAAATTCTCATCCTTCATACGGTGCGCGCCAGTAATACCTTGAACTTGAGCACACGCATGAAATGCGCCGAATAAGAAATCCGGGCAATGTTCGAGGACACAAATGCTTAGAAATCGCCACTGTAGTCGAAGTAAACAAACACGACGACACGGGCGTTTCTGCCGTCTTGAGAGCGCCGCACGAGTAGGTGGATCTTCCCTTCTAGTACGTGCTGGGTTATCATAGCGACACACAACAAGAATTCACAGTCAAGGATAGCACTTTTACGCAGAACGATGAGATGAACGCCGTCTACGACGACGATCACAACCGACGCCATGTTCGCGGAATAGAAGCAGCCGGCCCGCGACCGGCATGCAACGCGCGCGAACACTTCTCCTCGACCTACGATTGGTCTGTCGTTGCGGTTGTTTGTTTCTTTGTTTCCAACGCAGCGGAGGGACGCACGTGAAGGACTCATGCGTGCGTCCCTCCGTCGCTATGGCAACTGAAGCCTCTTTCTTCGCTTTTCCCCGCTTTTTCGAGCAACCTCCTTGCCCCGCAAATTCAGCTTGTGGCTCGCGCCGTCGGCGCCGTTATCTAATGTCGCACAGGGAAGCGAGCTCGCTGCTCCAGTCGTCGGCGCGGTCGGCAGGCTGTGCCAAAAACCGCACTTTAACTGGTATTTCCCTTTGCGCGCCTGCATTTTAAGCGGTATGTGATTACGTGGAGTTCTATGGGAGGTGAACCGGTGGTTTAAAAAAACCGCGTTATACCCGGTCCTGCACTATAAGCGGTTACGTTGTAAGTGGTCTATACTGTACTCTTACTACATACTTAGAGGTGGATTATGACTGGCGTCTGTTGTAACCAGTGACACTGACGGATCGTGAAGGGATATTAGAAAAGATTTGGTTCATTGATACTTCTGATATTTAAAAGGTAGTGACTTTTTACTGATGGTCGTCACCGTTGCGCGCTTTTGGTTATACGAGGCTTGGAAGGCACTGAGCGCGGTGACAGCATTTCACAAAATGGATGCCACTACTACCGAACCAAAGCCCTGTATGTCCAAAAAAATGACTGCTGTCGAAGAGTCTGCTATAATGGAATAGTGAACTACTTACAAACTCCCTAATATAGTACATTATATCTAGGGTGTGTACTTTCCGGTGTTTAATTGTGAGAAAAATCGGCGGATGTTTTTCGGTGTTTATTTATTTTCAAGACACCGGTGTATTTCGGTGGAATGTCTCGCGACTAGGCTAAAATCGGTGATTATCGGTGAAAAAAATGCGATTGATCACAGACAGAGAGTTCCAATTTTATTCACATATTTCATCTTCTTCTCTAGGAAGCATTTATTTCTCACACTTGGTTATTATAGTAGATGCAAGCATACTTCGAGAGGCCTGCATCCGTCATGGCAGCACGTTCCTTGCGGTTCACAACCCGCAATTATGAAAACACACGCTCCTGTACGGCACGGATGTTAGCTCTTCCAGGAACCACAGCAACCTCTGATCACATCGCTTGCACCGACATCACTTGGCCAGACACAATAATGAAAGGGCACGTGAGAGCCTACCCTCCACTGCGTTCATTTTTACACAAAAGGGGGCCATGGGAGACACAATAGGGGAAAGGTGTGTGAGAGCTTAGCTTCCACTGCGTTCACTGGACGCTTTTGACCCCCAGAAAGGAGGGCGGACTGACGCCACACACTGGAAGAATGCAGGATCCAGGAGATAACACGTTTGACGAATCTCTACGAGGAAAGGGTTTCGCTAGGTCGGAAACATGCAACGACCGGCGTTTTTCGGTTTTAACCAGGGCGAAAATATCCAACCACCGGTGTTTTTCGGTTTTAACCGATTTTATATTTTCGTCATCGATGGATGTTTATCAGTGTTTTTTGGTTAAAACCGGAAAATACACACCCTAATTATATCCGATTGTGTGTTATAACAGGATCCGTAATAAACGAGGTTGACTGAAGGGCATAGATAGAAGGACATACCAAACTTCACAAATTGGTATGTTGTAACCAAATGTCTGCTGTAACAAGATCTGTTGTAACTGAGTTATATTGTATCCCGTCGGTCTTGTGTGCCGCCCATCTATGTGCATGGGCTTTCCCTCTCCTGCACCGAGATCTGGCCGTTTTTACACCTAGAGGTGGAGCAGCAAGCTGGTTGGATGCGGCTTGATGGTCTTCTGACGATGGAAAGTGCAGCCTCAAAACAATTAATCTTTTTCCTCTTGCATTCGGAAGAGTTGCATACATTACTGGCTCTGGTGACGTGTCGGTATTCAAAGAAAGAAATGATTGGTGAGCATGAGGATCCAGGGTGTCTAGCGACCAGAAAAACCGGGAATTGTCAGGGAAATTTTAATTACTGGGAAAAATTAGGGAATTGTCTAGGGATATTGTCAAAAAGCGAGACCATTCAGGGAAAATGAGCCTCAAACGCTATCGAGTGCCCTGAGCAAAGACTTCGGGGCAAAAAAGCAGACAATAAATTCTGCTTAGAGCAGAGCGCGTGCTCTGTTCACGCGGCGTGCTCTGTTCACGCGATGTAGAGTGTGCTACCCGATGCAAAGAGAACAGCCGACAAATCCAGTCTAAGCATTAGATTGGATTGGATTGGATTGGATTGAGAGTGCAACACTAGGCTAGATCCAGATAGAGCTACTAGATTAAGTAACAAACGGGAAAGCCGCAGACCCCAATCCAATCCAGGCTGAAAGTATCCGAAAGTGTGCATCTGGCGGCCGTGTTACCATTCGGACATGTGTGGTTGAGCGTTGTGTTTACATTGTGTTTTCGGAAGTCACCTTTTCAAGAAAGTGCTCGTTTAATCCAGACTACTAGATGAACCCGAATATTTCGGAATATGCAAGTTGGATTAAGCACGTACAAAATGATCCTCACAGTGCTTAATGCCTAATGCCTTGTGTTGTAATGGTCTTATATAATAAACTGCCTCCACAGTGGTCAGGGAATTTCAGCTGAAATTGTCAGGGAAAACCTGGAAAAGTCGGGGAATTTCAATATAATAATTTGCTAGACACCCTGGGATCATGTTGGGGCCATAAAAAGACAGTCAAAAAGTGCTTTAGTGCACCTGTAATGGATAGTTGCCTCAAGAAACTGGGTTCAGTCATGCTATTGGTATTGTAAGAAATATCTTATTTGGAACTTTATCTTCGCCAGTATTGAAGTGTTATAGTGCCAGGGAAGATTATGTCTGTCGGTTGCAGCCTTTTTAATGTCTCAGTTGCCTTCCGAGGAAGTTAGATTTTCATTCAAGAGGGGCCGGCTTTTGCAGGCATGCTGCCCACTGACATTCCCAGCGACGCTGAACTGGACATGTCCATGAAGGACAAGAATGCCGAGCTCAAGATCGTCGAGTCTCTGCTGGTCACTGAACTGGAGACACTCGCGTGAGTGACATCTTGCCTTTTCCGTGTATGTCGAACCGTTGGCAGTGTGCTGCTATTATTGGCCAGGGAGCTGAGGGGGCAGAGTGAGGTTGTCAATGAAAGAAAGATGCAAGGTGGGGAGCCATTGTTAGTAAATGCAACCACAAGTAAGCAAACCCATTAAAAATTAACTCTGTAATTCCATGTTCTCTTTGACACATTTGTATTGGAGAATTCTATCTCATTTTAGTTTACCAGGAGTGTTATGTGATGAGAAATAGTTGAATCATGAAGGCCAGTTTAGTCAGAAATCTTTGACAGATGGTTATTGTCATTGTAACCCTCCAACTACCTCATTGAGGTTGTTGGAGTGTTTTGGGAACCAGAAAGAGTAATTAAAGCGCAAAAAAGTAGAAAGCTCAGTCTAAAGAAATTCCCCACTCGAAGTATGACTTTGTTAGATTGAGGTTTAACTGTAATCATGTAAAACTGGGGGATGGACACTTCTTAGGTCAACATTATGTAAAGGTATGTTCTTTGTGCATTTTTCAAATGTGACAAAATTGAGGGGTGGGCACTTATTGTGGAATGAGTGGGTGCTCGGTATATTATGGTACATACAGTAGTGGACCAAGTGGAGGATGGTTACGTTGTACTGCACAGTGGAGGATGGTTACGTTGTACTGCACCTTCTCTCGCAATGGGACGGTCAACGATGTCATTTCGTGGGCCAACCAGGACATGCCTCTCGGATGGATCCTGCAGGATGACAACGATTCGAAGCACACTTCCAGGGTAGCAAAGGACGCTTTCCAGCAGCATCGTCCGTCTTCTGGAGTGGCCTAGCCATTCCCTGGGCCTGAATGTGATCGAACACATGTGGGAGGAGCTGGAGCGAAGATTGGCAAAAAAAACATGCCAGAATAAGGATCAGAAGTTCGACCAGCTGGCTGAAGAATCGGCACGCATCCCTTAGGCAACCACCAAGGAGCTTGTCGACCTCACACTGTTTCATTGGGAAGCCATAATCAAATATGGCAATTTTCGAACGAAGTATTATTTACTGTTTGATTGTTTCTGAGTCACTGTTGTTTGTTTTTGTTGCATAAAATGAATGTGAGACACACCTTCTTTGTTAGTCTATTTGTATGATTTTAGCAGTTGAGCACACTACCTTATCTGTGTTAACGTCTCCGACCCACAAGAGTAGGGGTAATGTTCAGAACTTAATAGCACATACCATATCCAAAAACGAGCCGATTTAGAAAAATATTGTGGTCAAAAAGGTGTTTCATCCTATACTTTTATTCGCTACTGTGGCTGCCCAAGCGCTCTTTTGTCCACGGTTCTATTTATTTTTTAATTTCTCTGAGGTACCACCTCTCGTCATTTGAAAGCTTTATTTTTTATTGTCAGTTTGGCTCACTTTATTTTAGCTTTTGATGTTGATTCGCACCAAGATTCTTGTAATGGGTTTGCTTTAACAATGGTCTGCTACTTGCACTGCCAAACGACATTCGGTGGTATCTCAGTAGCATTGGCACCATGTAGTGAGTTCATGGAGTACAAATGGTTAGTCCACACTTGTTTCTGCAGGAAAGACGACCCCGACAGCCTGTCCGACTACAAGTCTGCACTTGCCTCTGCCTTGGCCACGGTGCTCCGGAGCTTTGGGGTGAAGACGCCTTCATCAGTGGCCCTCATTGAGCGGTTCCCTACCTTCGTAGCTAAGGAGAAGTCACGGCTCAAGTTCTTTCCACGCAACAAGAAGGTGGGTCCTCTTTCATCCTTGGGAAGACTTTCCTGTTGTCTAGAAACGTCACTGTCCAGTAAGAAGTTGGCAAAAGCAAGAAAGGGGGGTAAATGCCTGTTCCGCTAAAGGAGACCATTAAACATTTAGGACACTAAAGAAATTTTTAAATAATTTTATTTTGTTTATTATTTTTTTAGTATAAGTAGAAGTTTTTCACTAGAATGTACATTGAAATTCTGCTGCATTATCACTGAGTAAGTTCTGAGCTTTATCTCGCAGAAATGGGTAGATAGTGAACACATGTGCACTTTCTTTGCAATGCTTGCAGGAACATTGCTACCGTGAAGGAGTGCTTTGAAGGGCGAGATATCAGCGCACTGAGGATCAGAAATGAAATTGCACTAGGAATCTGAGCGCACAAACATCACGCTCCGCATTACAGCTGAGATCGCATTTTTAAATGCAGACGTTCTGTCTCTATCATCATTTGCTCAGCTCATTTCATGTGTCACAGTGATCGACTGCACAGTCAACCCATTTTGAGGTGGGCGCGGTAGTTCCCGATCTGCAGCTGTGCGACAGTTGCAACGGGATAAAATCACTTCATTCAACGGCTGCGCAGGTGGAATCTGCAACGGGGTGACGTGGTTGCCATGGGATGAAGTCTCTTTACTCACGGCTGGGCATTGGTTTGCGTAAGGTTGCTGACAAGGCTCATGGGTTTTTCCCTCTTGTCTCGTTGCAGTTTGCCTTCCAGACAATCAACACCAAGGGCCATCACTTCCAGTCGCAGCAGTACCACTGCGTCACATACTGCAATCACTGCCAGCTCATCATCTGGGGAGTCGGGGACCAGGGATACCAGTGCTCCAGTAAGTTTGTTTGACTAGTGCATTTGGGTAAATATTCAATTTGACTGTTCTTTTTTTTTTTTTTTTTTTTTTTTTTTTTTTTTGTTTACATATGGCAGGACAGGTGGTCTTTAACCAGAAATTGTCAATTTCCCCATCATTCGAACCTGCGATTTACTGATCGGAATCACTTGGCGACGAAGCGCAGATCACATTTGTCCTTTGAAGTACAGTCTGTGCTGGGACCCTACGCACATCAAACATTACGCTCAGAACTCCAGCTAAGTCACTGTTTCGAGTCTGAGATCCTCTTTAACTGACTGTCTATAGATCACTATGATTGGCTTCGTGCACACTATGAGAGAGAGTGGCCACTCTGACCCTTCTTCTAAAATGGTGGTGCAGTCCTCGCATAAATGTGGCAAAAATGTACCATGGCTGAACTGTAGCTTCGTAGACAAATTGTTTGTAGAAAGTGGAAAAAGAAGCTTGTTGTGCGGGCTAAATAATTACCGCGAGTCCATCCCCCTTGTTTCATCGGCTCGCATGCAGCTGACTGCTGAGCGGCATCAATTCTGACACGAGGCATCAAATTTAAATGAAATAATTTTGCAATCTACAAAAAGTAGTTCTTGAAAACAATATTCCAGTAATTGAAAATGAGCGTGTTGCTAGATAGATATGAATACGTAATAGGACAATCCTTTCATGTATTTGAACATACGCCATCTGTCTTAAAAGGTCCAGGCCCTTCGGTTGTCCCACTTCCGGCGCGAGCCTTTTTGTGCATATGCAGCCAAGCACAAGGGAAGGCATTGAGCACAATGGAAGACCAGGCAGCGGGACAAGGCATCCCGCTGTTCTCATTCTGTCGATGGCTACAGTGTCCACAGGGCTGATTGTGACGTCTGCCTCTCCCGTTTCAGACTGCGAGATGAACATCCACAAGACATGCGTGAAGGTGGTGGAGGAGCAGTGCATCGGGTCCCTGCGCAACAAGAAGGCCAAGAAGAACCACCGCATGTCCGGCCTGGGGCTCATGGAGAACATCAAGGGCAAGGCTGGCAGGAGGCCCCAGGGAGGCAGCCAGGGTGGGTGCGGCAACCTCTCGGGACGTGGTTAGGGACAGAGTTGCCAGCTCCGAAATCTGAAAGGCAGCCCAAATGCAAGGTTGCCAGGTCGAAATTTTTAAAAATGACCAAATATCTGCTTAAAGCTGTCAAGTTTGTTCATTGCTTTTTCACTACGAGAAAAACTATTAGAACGGTGTTGGACCGTGAGCCGCGCAGCTCTTCGTACTTGTTGAGTAAGGGGGGATCGCCAGTGCCAAAATTTATGCATACTGTAAACCGAAGTTACAAAATTTCTTAAAACACAATGCAAATTTAATGTACAGATCTCCAGCATTTTATTTCGGCTGTAAAGAAACAAAATTGAAGGCTGATATTTAAACAATAGGAATCAAATATTGGGTTGCAATATAGATGGCTTCTCGTATCGTGAATGAGAAGAGCAATTTGTTTTATTCTAAGTATCTTATATGGCATTAAAAGAAAGAAATGGGTGCACGAGGTTGCGCTTGTCGAAAATGGCCCAGATACGGAGATGAAGGAAACCGGATTCTTTTTATTAATGGTTTTTGAAGGTGCAGGGAAGAAATCTTAAGTATTCACTAAACAGCAAAAAAATATATCCTTTAGATATGTGTCTATTTCTGTTGACACATTTTATGCCACAACAAGGAAGAAATGGTCTGCTGATGGCTTTTTCGCACTGATTGCATGAGACTAGTGGAAATCGTGATGTGGTGCAACTGCACCTTTGCCTTCCCCAAGTAGAGGGCCTGACAAAGGCACACTGCTTTCTGTGCAGGATCGAGGCGGCCCGCGGAGGAGTGGAGCCTAGACTCCGGCATTTCTATGCACACCGATCGTGCCGACTCTGGTGAGACTGCGCTACACTCTGTCACGACACCGCCATCCGTGCTCAAAAAAGGGAGGCACGTTAGGAAGCTCTGCGAACAGGGCTTGCAACCTCGAGGAGCTGCAATCTCGTAAAGCTGTGTCGAGCCAAAAAAATAAATGAATACAGTGGAGTTTTGTTTATTTGAACCCGAGCAGGACCAAAACTTTGTTTTAATAATGCAAAGTTTGAGTTACCGGGAGCTTCCTTCCTAGAAACACATGGGACGAGACCTGCATGTTAGTTTGAATTAAGAGAGCTTGAATTAACGAGATTCCACTTAGAAAGTTTCAATTTTTGTTTTTCTTTCGGCAATTTTTATATTTCTTAGTTTGCTGCGTTCAAAGTATATATTTTTTTGTTTGTTTTTATATTGTAGAGGTTAAAACTGTATGCTAAAATAAATGAGAAGAGAAAATAAAAAAAGCTGGATCTTTACGGTAACAAATTTGTGCAGGCAGGTTAGTTGTTAAGAGTCTCCCTGTTTGTGCCAGTGGGGATATCAAATTCTTAATGGGTGATTAATCTATTGATTGAAGTTTTTGTAGGGTGTTGACATTTTTTATTGTGAGTTCAGTTCTCATAGGACAGTCATAAATACGGTACAACTTCCTTAGTAATTTTTTTTGGGGGGGGACTGCCATGGAAAAAAGACATGATTCGGGTAAACATGACAGTTGATAGCGCTCTTAAAGGGCTACAGGTGAGACTGAAACTAGCTCTTGCTCAACAATTCTAGTTATGTGCACTTTCACGGCTGCGGAGAACTATGTATTTATTCAAGTAAATTAGGCCAACCCTCTTTGTTTGTTGGTCTTTTCCTGGGAATCTTGTTTTTTTATTTAACTGGAGAACGACCAATTATCTTAAGCAAAGAATGTCGGCCAGTAACAGTGACCAAAACTGACCAGTAACAGTGACCTAACACAGATGTTCCCCCGTGTGAGCCGCTGCTCCCGACGCACTAGTGCACAGTGGTAAAGCTTAATGCGAGCGGTACGGTGCAAGTGCCATAGCACAGGGGCATGTGATTGGAGACGTGAAATGTAACCAGAGGAACCAGACACACCCAGCTCAATAGAAGTGTGCCATTGAAAGAGATGGAAAAATGAATGGGCTGTTGCAAAAGACTGAACTCCCTCCAAGCCTAGCTCAAGATGATGCTCGCTCGCACCAAAAGCATATTAGAGGTGCAGGCAAAAAAGAAGGCACAACAAAGCAATGTTTTGGTAACCCACCCCCTGCTAATAGTATCACGTGACACAAGCTACACTCGATTTATCGAGTGCAGATGTTTTAAATGTCACGACCAAGTAGCCCATTTGTCGCATCAGCTGCATCAGGTGGCAGTTATAAAGCGGAGTATTTATAGGGCCAGCTTTTTGGGCTTTCGAGCCCTCGGATGTAGCCTCAATGACATCAGTATCATGTGACTCTGATGTCATTCCAGAGACACGACGTCAGGTGGCACCAAAATGCGACATAGTAGCGTCGCAACAGGGGTGTCAGTGTGGTGTCACATTGTCACTGTGACATCAGGTAACACCATGACACGACATTGTGATATCACGTTGGGTGACGTCACAGCATCACATGATGCGACGTGACAACTGTGATGGTTCTATGTGTTCACAAAAACCCTCGCAGTGTGCCCTTCAGTGGCCCCCTTACTGTGCCTGCAAAAAAACGAGCCTGAAGGCTCGTCCTTTGGGAAATGCCAAAAGGAAAATCAATTTTTTGGATTTTGCAACCAGGAAGACAAATGGGACAAGCATCTGTGAATGTAACAATCGGAAAAATGTATGAACGGGGAATGTATCGAAGAGGTTCTACCGCATTTTAGCTTGTTTATTCCTTAATTGAACTCTCTATGAGGTTGCTGTTGCAAAGGTTGGCGTTGCGTGTCTTTGCAGATAAGTACCTTGCCCGAGTTGAAAGGGATCATGGAGATGATTTTGACCATCAGTCAGCAATGCACCACCTGAACCATGATGCAGCGGAGCGAGGCCTACAGTGAGTTTCCTTTTCTGTCTTGTTTTATGTGTTTTATCACTCTCACGGTCCTTATTCTCTGTCACAAGTTGTGGGTAATATTACAATTGTGCTGATATATACCGTAAAATACCGAGAAAGTGCCCACTCAAAATATGGAGATTATCGCGAAAAATTTGGGTACTGTTAGGTCATCAATTTTACATATATCTGCCATGCATATTTTCTCAGATGTTACAAAATTTTGGGGTGGGGACTTAGTGTGTAATGGGCGGATGCTCGGCATTTTACGATTTATAGATATTTTATCTCAGTGGTGGTTTTAAAATACTTTTTGTACATTAGTTTGATGGATTCTAATATCTATTTCAGTGATGTTTTTTTTTCAATGTTTGGTAACCCACCCCCTGCTAATAGTATCACGTGACACAAGCTACACTCGATTTATTGAGTGCAGATGTTTTAAATGTCAGCAGGCAGTGATCTAAACTGCCGAGGATCGTGCATTGAACTTTTGCTGGAATCTTCTCTTGTCATGTTGTATACAACGTCCGAAATCAAACTTACTTTTATTGACCGTACTAATCCATAATTGTTTGCTGTCATTTGCACTTAAAACGCACATCTGACATTGTGTTTTTGAGGGCACCTTTGTTTCACAATAAAAATAAGGCAAAATGTGCACGGGCGTCCAACAATTCGGCTCCGCAACCTTGATTTCATATTGAGGATAAGCTGCAGCCGGGCACATAGCCAGGATTTTTTCGGGGGGAGGGGGAGGGGGAGGGGAGGGGGGAGGAGGGAGGGAGAGAGGGAGGGAGGGAGGGAGGGAGGGAGGGAGGGAGGGAGGGAGGGGAGGGGGGGGGGGTGGGGGGGGGGGGGGGCACGCCCAACGGGGCGTGCCGCCCAAGCACGCCCAACGGGGCCAACCCAGAGCCGTGTATACAGAGAGTTTGGTCAATGGGAGGCGTGGGCAGAGCCAGGGCGTGCATCAGGTGCAGAAAGAGGGCTTGGCTTGCTCTCTTGGCCAACCAGAAGCCGAAAAGAATCCCCTAGCTGTAGTAGCGAGAAACAGGTTTGGTCATTATAATAAGCGCGTAAGAGGGGGGGGGGGGGGGGCAGGGCAAGGCAAGCACATGCTTGTTGCACGTGCTTGCGTATATGGGGCACCAGTTGCAGCACCATGCTTGCAATTGTCTATTGGCGACGTGAGCGATCGAAGGCGTCGCTGTGATCTGTCTTCCATGATAGGGGGGGGGGGGGGGGCAGGGCAAGCACATGCATGTTGCACGTGCTTGCGTACATGGGGCACCAGTTGCAGCACCATGCTTGCAATTGTCTATTGGCGACGTGAGCGATCGAAAGCGTCGCTGTGATCTGTCTTCCATGATAGGCCGAATACTGACTATGACGTCAGCAAAGGATTTCCTTTCGACGGAAATAAGAGGAATGGAAGAACTTCCATTTTGTGGTGTTGGCAGTGTTGGTTTGAGAGTGCTGTGATTTCAAGCTTCCACCATGTTCTTTACAAGCACCTTCAAACTTGATGTTCACAAGGTAATGACGTCATGAAAGGTTAACCATAGGAGGGCGCCACCAAAGCATCTCGCCGCCAATAGACCGATCTCACCAGCCTGTTTCATTATGCCGCCGGTGCCGGCATGCATTGAGGGAACTCTAGTCCTCCTGCTTGCGTGACAACACTGCTGCGTGAGGAGAGCCCGAGACGGCACGAGCTGTCTTGTGCTCTGCCGCCTGCCTTCTGTGAACTACAGTTATGGTGGTGTCACACATGCATAAAACGCTTGTCTACTAGATCGGTGCGATATTCATAGTTTTCCAAGTGTTCATTGCGGCAAGTGTGCTTCATGCCTATACTTGCGGTCAGCTTTCTGTGGCAATCCCAAGAGAGGAGGAAAGCGCGTGTACAGTGGTTGGTGCACCCTCTCCCCTAGCATTGACTGCATTGCCTCAGAAAGTTGGCCGCAAGTATAGCTCCAATGCACTGCAGAGAAGCCGCTCCGCGGATGTTGCTTCTCCGCAGTGCACCTGTGCTCGGTAAGAAGCACGCCCAACGGGGCCAACCCAGAGCCGTGTATACAGAGAGTTTGGTCAATGGGAGGCGTGGGCAGAGCCAGGGCGTGCATCAGATGCAGAAAGATGGCTTGGCTTGCTCTCTTGGCCAACCAGAAGCCGAAAAGAATCCCCTAGCTGTAGTAGCGAGAAACAGGTTTGGTCATTATAATAAGCGCGTAAGAGTTAAATGTAGTAACCCTTCATGGTTGAAAATAGGGTGCACATGATATTTTGATCATGATCATGCAGAAAGATGTAAGAAAAAAATGTGCCGCTCGAACTCTCTTTTGATCGGACAGGGTGTGACCGCTCGGACGGCAGATTCCCAGCCCTCAGCACCTGGCATACGGATTATGTTGATCATTCCACTAGTCGTGCTCTTCCAGCATGATTTTGGATGATCGTGATTGAAACATCACACGCACCATATTTTCAGTCACCGAGAGTTACTCCAACGCACTTACCAAGTTTGTTTCTCGCGACCACCGCCAGGGTCATATTTCCAGCTTCTGGTTGGCCACATTCGAATTTGTGAAGACGCTCTGGAACACGCCCAGTCCGCTTTCGGCCAATGGCACCTCCTCATTTGTCTTCTATACTTCCCAATGAATGGCCAAACTCTCTACGTATATGGCTCTAGGTCAACCCGCTGTGATCAGCGTGCCTGAAAATATGAATATGGCAGTTCATCTCAAAGCAAAAATCGAATATTGTATTATTCGAAATTTTGAATATTCACACTACACTACTAAATAGACGATATGCAAAACTGCATGGTGGTCTGGCAGTACTCTGCATGCGGCCATCTTGGTAGCGTCAAATATCTTGAGTTTCGGTTTCTCAGCCTTTCTAGAGCACGGATGCTTGGCCACTAAGTGCGATTCAGAAACATTATCGTTTTCTGACTTCAGATCATCCAATGTGGACAAAGGACTAAGTTGTCATGCCTTTCATCTCTGAGGACACTTTTAAATCTTTCTTCAATACAAATATGCATGAAGTTGTACTTTTTAGCATTAGACTGCTCCACGCTAATACATGAACCTCAAGGTTAGTTTCTTTTTTTCTTTTGTTTTAGTTGTTACTGGCAAAAGGATTTTTTTTTTTTTGTGGAAAGTTTTGGGTTTTTATAAAGGAAACGGTGCCCTGGGAAATATTTTTCAGGCATTGCAAAGAGCTCAAATTGGTTTCATATATCATTGGCACAGTTGATGGATGTTGCATTACTGCTACTAATGATTTGTTCAACCCTGGCAGAATAACCAACTGCATTTACTAAGACAATGCTTTTGTTACCGCCAACATCGGTTTTAGCCACTGCGATGAACCTAAGTTGAACGCCACGTTCGATGTAATCAAACGTGGCATTCGACAAAAAAGACAGCAAAATCCCGTTTGTATGAGTACTGAGCAAAGACACACCGTCTTCCGTGTCTCTTGTTTTTTCTATCCTACATGGCCGCGCTTCAAATATTCAAGAATATTATATCAACAAACTCTCCTGTTTAGTTTAAGAGGTGTTTTACAAACCTTGTTTACCGATGCCAGATCAAGTGTATAGAAATCACTGCAAAGCAATGAGATTGTTTTCTGACTTTCCAAAGTAATTTTTTTTCTTTTTAATATTTGACATTAAAATGAGGGCTCTGTGGTGCTTTCAGCTTTTGTTGTTCACTGTTAAAGGGACCATGAAATGACTTTTTTACTTTTTCCAGATAACTTTTACATTAAACCGTCAATGTTCACTGAATGCCAAACAGGCATCCGTTTTCGTCTCGGTTTATTAACTTCTACACAAAAAATTAACGAAATATCGACTTTTTCTTGACCGCAAAACAAGCCGTGACGTACGCTGTTTCCGGAACAGGAAGTTCTCTCGGCAGTAGGAGATGGGAGCGTTAGCGGCGACGAGTTGGGGTGCGCCGGTAGGTTTTACTGCGCCGATGTCACCGACGTATTTTCTGAATCGGGGCCTCTCATCGCCGCATCGCAGCTGAGCGAAATTCAATGAGATACGTTGCGCTACAGCGACAGCATGGGACTAGTCCCATACACCGGTATGCCTGTTGGGAAGTGCAGCGAGTCTTCCGGTGAAGACTCCAGAAGTCAACCCAACTGTCATTGTTGGTAAAAGGCGGCCAGTGTCAGTCGTTTGCAAAGCGACGTAGATGGAAACAAATTGCCGCGGCGTTTTTCGCGGTCTCGGAGATGCAGGAGCGAGCCGACGTTAAAAAAGATATGTTTGAACTACGAGTGTCAGCAAGAGCCACGTAAATACCTGTTCACATTCGGAGCGGACGCGCGCATTTGATGGAAGTGCTGTATTCGCCCTGTTGGTAAGCGCTTCGGGACCGATCTTTTACGATTGCAACTCGATACTGACGCGACACTCGGCAAAGAAAGGTTGGACCGGTATTGCACGTATACCTCCCACGAACTGTTACAGCTCGACAGTGACGTGCAGTCTGTCAGAATAAAAATGGCATACCAATAACAAAGTGTGTACATACCGTGTTACGAAGGTAATCTATACAGCGTTTATTTCAGCTCTATATCACACAAAACAAGAAGAGAGAATCGACGAGGGTTCCTTTTCGACGAGTGTTCGTCAACACTGCCTCGGAAAACAAGGGGAAGAGATTGACCTCACCTCTTAAAGGGACACTGACACCCCCCAAAATTTTTTTTTAATTTTTTGCCAGGCGCTTTATTATGATGTCGGAGGACTACCCAATTAATATTTTGCAACAGAGTAGCGTATTTTTTTAATAAAGCCAAAAGACGCAACTGCTCGAAACCGAAACCCGACGGAGGTCGGAGAAGTGGAGAGGATAGAGTGAGTGGCGGAAGTCACGTGGCTACACCCGACCGTGTTTTTTTTTTTTTTTTTTTCTTCTTCTTTTTCTTTTTCTTCTTCCCGGTAGCAGACGACATGCGGCGTACGG